ATAAATGATAGGTTAGGTTTTCTGTCCTCATACTCGCAAAAACAAAACGTTGAATTTCAAGTTATCGATTCAATCAACGTTGCTAGTACAAAGAAAGTCCCAGAGACGTCCCATTAACGTCCTGGACTCGGACCGAAAACTAAACGCTTTGTCGAAATGGGACTAAAATAGGATGTCCTAGTGTTCACGGTAAGTCCCTCTCTGCCTTATGTTGGGCCTTTTACGGCTTTCATTTTTCCCGTTTCCAAGGACATTCGATTAAAGAAGTCGCCTTCGAAATCCTCCTTGATCCGCCTATGTTTTGTTATCGTCGATTGAGGAAGCCGTATAGTCTTCTATGTGAAATTTAAAAAACGGCCAAATAGACCTGTTGCATGTGTCGATTTTTAGATTTTTTTAGGACATGTCCGGAGAGTAACAGATGGGTATAAATATACTATTTTGCTGTTGGAAATAGAGTTTAAGTTGAGATATCGTTGTTTACATAAATATTGTCGATATAAATTAGTATATAGTGTCGAGTACAAATAAATTAAGAGATATAAATTAATGTCTTAGTGAATATAAATTTAATGCTACTTAAATAAATAAAGGATTCAATACTACAAGTCTCAGATCAGAGTTGAGATGCGTTTGTGGGGTTAACATTAGAATTTATGACAAAAGGTAACTCAAGAACTGTTTGTCAATGACATTACAATACTTTTCTATAATTGCGTTTTCAAAACCTGGACTTTTACAATCGTTAGAAAATCTAACTTGATTTTTCAATATATATTTTCATCGAAAATTACCTGCTACATTATTTTGAATACCACTGATATATCGTGTAACCACCTAAAGCCAACTCTGGTCTTCTTGCCGTTGCAAAGCAGCTTCGCCATTCGAGAAGTTACCAGAGAAACCGTTGCGTGCCGGCTGACTCGCAGAGTAAGAATTCCCAGATATTCTAGATCGCCGAGAATCTACTGGAGCAGAGCTGGCTTTATATAAAATAGCGCGACTTTGCCGGTAGACGTTAATTTTTCAATATAAGTGTTATGTAGTAAAGATAAATATCTTATACATTAGTTAATTTATTTAGACAAATAAGTAGATACAAAGATTATACATAGAAAAGAAAGCTAAAATTATTTTTTTTACAACTACTACACTAAATCACATATTTCGTTGGTATTGTTTTTAAACATTATAGTATAGACAATAATTCCGTGCACAGTATAGGGAAATATTTTATTCCACACTGTTTAATTCATTGAATAAATTGTCGTATAATAACCTTTATGCTACAAATAAAGAAACCAAATCTTATAACTTAAAAACACATTTCATTAAATATAAGCTTGAAGAAATTATTGAGCTATTGCTAAAATAAATTACTAAAACAGTCCAACACATATATGATTTTCCTGTTAAGTTTTTAAAAAATATTGAGTTTGGTCCATCTAGTCAGAAATTAATAAAAATTTCAAATTTTGCACTTTTTCCTCAAGAGTCTCCATTATTTTCCATTTTAGAGAAATCATGTATATAGGGTATACAACAAAAATTAAAGATAATGACACATTACACAAACAACTCCTTTATATTGAAATAATGTTCTTCTATAATCAGAAATAAAAGACAAATTACCGCTCCATATGCTCCGATCAAAGCGTAAGTTTAAAATTTGGTATTTTTTTCTCTATCAGTTTTGAGTTATCGTGGATACAGATTACCAGACAGACAGACATCATCGCGAAAATGGTCAAACTGGATTTAAGGAACCCCAAAAACGTGAAGATCCTCCAGCGCAAGGTCAAAAAAATAATTATTCCTTCATAAGTATACATTGCTTGTTGGACATATATGAATAAAAATAGTTAAATTTGCAAAAAATATGTATACTTTTGTACATTAAATGATAACTTCAGCAAAGTAAGTTTTACCTCTCTGCTTTCAAATCTGGACAACATGAAAAACCTTCAAAGCATAATATATTCGGTTTTAATTTTTCTTGGGTATAGCGCAACTTTAAACTATAAGGAGCCACAGGAAAAATAATAATCATATGAAGCGAGAATAAGAGAGAGAGAAAGCAGAAGAAGGCGTTGGCAATTCCATGACGCCGACCAATTTAATCCGCCCTTTGCGACACACACAGATTGGATTTAAAAGGCATGCTCGCTTTTTATAAAGCTATCGAAGTTCTCCATCTGTTAATCAACAATACTCAAGAAAAATTTTATGATATATGATTTATTACCACCTAATACTATTTCCAATTGCAATATTAACTTTTGTAATAAAGTAAAAGTTTGAAATTAAAATAACAAAAATATGTTTATATAGTTTTGCAAATTATTAAAAAAAAGTGAGATTTGTGTTTTATTTGTTTTGAAGAAAAAGGACAGTGTGATACCGTGGAGAAACCTTATTTCACACTCGTGTGATTATAGCACTCTCATTGAAAATTAAGAAAAAAATCAGTTTTTTTATTGCTTTAAAAACTTTATGTGGAAACCCCCTAAGGAATTGTTTAGAGGATAAACTAAATATATACATTTTCCACATACATCTACCTCGAAACATTTTTCTATGGATATTCTTTGAAAACGAAAATACTGAAAAATTTAAAGTTAGCTCTTTTCCTACAATTTTTCCATTACGGTCCATGTTAGAAAAATCATGTATAAACAAAAAACATAGAGATCGATATCGCAAACAACTCGAATACGGACCATTTCAGTAAATTTTGACATAAAGCAAAAATTATAGATAATAATATTAGAAGTAACTTTTATTTGAACAATTTTCTTCTCCAAACATAAATAACAGATATATTCCATAAAATATAAAAACGGCCTCCTATAAAGTATCCCCCAGATGTTCCGACTTTGTCCAAAATCTAATCATTTCACGTCAGGCTGAAATAAAACTTAAGTTTAAAATTTAATGTTTTTTCTTTATCCGTTTTTGAGTTTTCTTCAAAATTCGAAATTTACACATTTTCTCAAATATCTCGAATATGGTCCATTTTAGAGAAATTATGTATAGAATAAAAATTATATTACAAACAACTTTTATTTGAACAATTTTTATAAAAAATATTTTTTTTTACATTTTGTCAAATTTCTCGAATACGGACCATTTTAGGAAAATTTTGTATAGAACCAAAATTATAGATAATAATATTAGAAGTAACTTTTATTTGAAGAATTTTCTTCTTCAAACGTAAATAACAGATATATTCCATAAAATATAAAAATGACCACCTATAAAGTACCCCCCCCCCAGATGTTCAGACTCTGCCCAAAATCTAATCAGTTCGTTGGACGCTGGAATAAAGCTAAAGTTTAAAATTTGGTGTTTTTCTGTGTATCGGTTCATGAGTTATGGTGGATACAGACACACACAGACATCACCGCGAAAATAGTCAAAAAGGATTCAGGGGACTTCAAAACGTAAAAATCCGTCGAAAACTCGAGGTCGAAAAAATCATGATTCCTATACTTTCTTATCTGCTGTATACAGATAGGAAAGTAAAAATGTTTCGTTACATGGGTTAATATTGTTCTTTGTTGTATGTTAATTAAACGCTGATTTCACGTTATTTTTGCCGTTTTTATCCCGTTTTTTTCTGCAACTTTTAAAAAAATATATTTTTTGTCCCGATACGCCCCATAGCTGGGGTGTATCGGTCATTTCCATCAAAATAAATAGGGTGTCCCAATTGACCACATTTGCGAGGCGAATCGGGACACCTAATTTTTTTTAAATCACCTGTCAAAGTGACAGGCGTGAATGATATGTTGTTTTGAAGCTCTAACCGGGGCCCAACTTTTGACATTTACTTGGAGCCTCTATCTCATTTAGAAAAAACGTTATTTAGAAAAATATGTCAAAACTGTCCCGATTCGCCCCATTTGACGGTATATACTTTCATCTGCACTTGTTGCACAATTTACCTATTACTATTTCAAATTATTTGGCGCTAAAATACTTTATAAACATATGAAATTCACAAATGTCAAAAACATTTTGAGACGCACACTGTATTTATTAGTCATAATTAAATTACTCATAAAACGCTCCACGCTCCCATAATCCACAACGCCGCAACGCGTAATGCTGTCAAATAAAAAAGAAGTTTTCATACAGCGTTCCCTATTTACAAAAAAAAAAGAAACGCCAAACGCCACGCATGCAATACCCACATATTATCCTACTTTGAAATCATTTTTCCAAAGCAAATGTATAGTCAAATATAGCGTTTTATCGAGACAACAGTTTCCTATTTTGCATACTGAAACGATTTGATAATCTTTAAATACGACAGGTGTTACCTACTTGGGTGCGTCACAATAAAATATAAGAAAGAAGTAGCGAATAAAAGCGAATAGGTAGGTAGGTAACTCCTATAAGAATAAATCGAAACTACCTGCGATATTTAAAGGAGCTTAAGGTTTTGTAAAAGTTTTTAACCTTGCAACAAAGGAGAGATAAAAACGAATATTTAGTTTAAAATTATCTATATAAACAATCAATTAAATTTCATAGAATGAATCTTTTCAATCTTTAGAGTTTGGGGAATATGCGTGCGCAGCACAGCTAAAATGCCTCAACAACCCTGTCGCAACTTGAACCTGTATCCCGTGTGCATCGTTGCCAAATTCTCTAGTTCATTACCAAAAATGCAACATTTCAACAATTTTCCGTTTTATTTACGTCAGATTTCAACAAATAAAGTGTAATATTCTGTTATTTTAATTGAACTTTGGTTCCACGTTTAACTGGTTAAATAGGTGTTAAATATTTAATAACTTTTTTAAAAAATAGATCATACTAAAACAAATACAACGGGTTGATTAAGATTAATAAAAATAAGTTGAAATCATCTTTTAAAACTAACTAAAACTAAATTGAAACATTTATTACCTCGAAAACAGTTATTGAGTTACTCTTCCGGTATTTGGTAGGATTTCGATAAAAAATGTTTGGCAACAATGTTTTATCCGCCGCTACGATATTCTTCTTGTAAGTTGCGTGTACAGATGCGGTCCGGTTATCTTTCGTTTTTTCAATAAATTTGTGCGACGGACATTGTTAAAAAGTACTTCAAATAATAGTTTAAACATTAGTGTGCACATATATATCGGTTATACCAACGTACACAGTGTATCAACTTCGTAATCAGGTAAAATAAAACATAGTCAGGTAGTTTTAGTTTTTGCATGCCTCCGCTGTGCGCGCAAAAGAGCGTTTGTCAGGTTTTGAGTTTTGTTTCATTGCATAAAAGTGTAATAACATGTGATTTACTAAATTGACTTATCTCTATCTACGATTCTCGAAATCAACTATAAAAATACCTGTACATCACTCATAGAAAAGTTTTAATAGATAAGATTAAATGTCTTTAATACGTCGCAACGTGTGGCATGTGTTTTAAATTCGCAATTTTTTTTTTCGATTTCTAAATTTTGTTAGCGGTTGATAGTTTTCAGTATAAATATTAATATGCATTTTAAAGTATTAAAGTAAATATTCCTTTACTAGGATGACATCAGTCAAGAACCGAGAACGTATTTTAGAAGCGATTGACCAGTTGCGGCGCCGTAAAGCTCGGCCGGACATTCAGAGAATTTGCAATTATTTATTTCGCCGGTTCGCAATTAATTCCTCTGAAGCAAGAACGGATTTAGAATGGTGTGTTGATAATAATTTTGTGTTAAAAGTTGAATACAAAGGTAGCATAAGTTATCGCAATGCTGCAAAAAAATACGCACAAATGAGACAGAGAAATCCGGAGCAAAGAAAACCGCTGTCAAATCAAGGTTCATATGTAAGTGACAGCGCTTATAAAACAAATAGACAATTTAATGAGTTGTTGACAAATGCTTTTGGAGAATTAATTGTGGAAGAACCAGATTATTTAGAAATTGGAGTACCCAGTACCGAAATAATTAACAATATATTAGCAAAGGATAGCGTCAGGTACACAAAAAAGTACATAAGTATACTTTTGGAAAAGGAAGTTGAAGCGGGAGGGTTGATAAAGATGGAAAATGGTAATTACCTTATGGGTCCTTCCAAAGACGAAGATAATGGGAAAGAGAAAATCACAGAATGGAAAAGGGAGATAGATGTCATACAAACGAACGTGAATAGAGATCAGTCGCAATCAAATAATCGAAATAATGGTAACCACTTTATCCTTCAAAGTAAAGTTAAAAAGGATTCGGAGTCAGAAGTTAAAAGGGAAATAAAAAATGATAATTACGAAGTCATGGATTCGTCAACAAATTCGGCGGACGAAAAAAAATCCGACGGTTCATTGAGAATCGGAGGTAGACGTAAGGTCAGTGCACTTCCATTTTACATTCTAATCTGTCAGCTGTCAAAAATAGTATTTGTTGTTTTCCCAAAAAACTTTGAATATTTTGCAAAGGAAAATGTCCAAACTTAAAGTAATTATTATATTTTTTAATTTTTGATTATTTATTTTTAATTATTACAATTAAATACTTTTTATATTGATATCAAATAAATAAATTGACCTATTTTTAAATGTAGATAATAATAATTAAAATATTAATTTTTTAAGCAGTAATTTATTTAAATAAAGTTTATTAAAGAACAAATAATTGTTTTTGAGACAAATTTTATTTTTTAAAATGAAAATGTATTTATCTGTTATTTCTGAACCTATTTGGATTAATTAAAAATTTTCACCATCTTTTCATTAGATAAATTAAATAATTTTGTTTTTGTACATACTTACTATTTAAACTAATTATTGTCGATTTTTTTCCTATGAACAGAGGGCAAAAAAGGTATTTGATCCATCAGATAACCACATTCCAAAAAAAAGAGGTCGACCTATTGGTTCTCTTAATCGGTCGACTATAGAAAAACAATTAGCTAGGTTAAATAATGATGATAGTAGGGAAAACCGTCCAGAATCAAGAACTTCAAGTAATGGAAGAGACCAAGGTGGAGTGTGTTCCGTTTGCCATCAGCAAAACAGAAAAGGACCTAATGATAGAATGGTATTGTGTAGAGAATGCAGTAATAAAGGTTAGTAATAAGTGATACATAAAGAAGGAAAAGGTATTTATAAATTAAGGACATAAAATACAGTGAGATTTTCATGTATTCAAACAAATTTTTTGATCAATATTATTTCGTGAAAATTTGATGTCTGAATTTATTTTGGTAGAAAATAATTATAGTTTAACTGATAACTTTTATCAGTTGAGTATTTTATTAATTTATTAAATTGTTCTCTGTTAATAAATTGTTATTCAACTATCCAGAAACAACTCGTGGCTTAGTCTATGAGGAGGCAACAGAGATAACTTTTGAAACACACCCTATATACTTAATACAAATATTTCATGGCTTAGCACACACATGTGACAAGTGCAATTTTCGGGACAAATTGTGTTAAATGCATTTACCTACTTATATGTGAACAAATAAATTATCTTTTTTTGCTTTATTATGTAATCAGAAACAACAAAGAAGTGTGGAAAGGATTTCATGTGAAATAACAGAGAGCTATAGCTTCAAACCTTTAAAACTTAAAGTGTGAAATATCAAAATGTTACTTAACACATGTGTGCGCTAAATCATCAGTTTCTATTAGAATATAAAAAACAGAAATATTACAATGTATTTTAACAAAAATATATATTTGTATTAAATATAGGGTTACCACCTGTCCTTTTTTTGAACAGAACAGTCCTTTTTTGAATAGAACAGTCCTCTTTTGAACAGAACAGTCCTTTTTTGAAGCAAAATGTCTTTTTAAAGCTGAAAATGTCATGTTTATGGCAAATGTCTTTTTTTACAGCACATATTTTTGGAAGAGAAATGGTTTGGAAAAAAATATAAGCTATAAGCTGGGGGGACCTTTGGAGCATTTTTTGTTAAACTTGATGACCGTTCAACTTTTTTTTTTTTTAGAAGTTTAGTAGAAGGATGAGGACTTTTTGTGTACCCTGTAGTCCTTTTTCACCTTTCAAAAAGGTGGCAACCCTAATTTTAAGTATATAAGGTTTGTTAACCTCCTCGAGGACTAGACCCTCTGCAAATTTCCATTTTAACCTCTATTATCATGGAAGTAATGTTGCATCTTTGCTTCCAATTACATAATTTACTCATTTTAACAAAATTTATTTTATAAAAAATCTTAAGTACCTAATGTATTTTCCAAAAACGCAGTTATGAAACAAATAATAATTTATAATATTCTAATAATAAATATGCACTAATTATTATTGTAATGTATGTCAAAAATGTTATTCTTTTAACTGTATGTTTTTATCTTTCAGCACATATTGGTTGCTTAAATGGAGAAGATATGATGCTAAAAATGTATCCTGATAATACATGGCAATGTCCTTATTGCAAGAGTTGTGTAGTGTGTTTTGAAACGTCAGATGCTGTAAGTATATTTTATTTATATTTAGTTTGTTTATTGTAGATGTAATCTGTAAATATTTTATTTCTATTAATATAGAATTTATTCAGTAGTTATAGTAGTTATAATACTACACAAAATTAATACAAATACAGTAATGTAATGTCTAATATCGCACTATTTGAACCTGAAAATATCAATTAAATTTTTTTTTAAAGATGTCAGTATGTTTTTTATGATGCTTGGAAGATCATTGTACTGTCATAGACCATTCTTACGGCTGTGGTTCTATAGCAGAGGTTGTTCCTGGCATTGTAGTAGTATGCTTCATAATAAAAACCAATTGAGGTCCTCGATGATGTAATAAATTTTAGCGCGTCACAGCTCCTCGCCGTTGTCAATTTTGAAAATAATTGGGGAATCTTTGAAAATTCCGACAATTGTAGCTACAGAAAAGAAAAGTAGCTGTAAATTATTGTGATTTTAGCCTATAAGAAATACCGTATGTTCTATGTATAAGCATGAATCTATTAAGAACATCAGTTGAGCAAGGTTTTTAAAAAATAATTCAAAATTTGCTTTATGGGATTATATTAATATAGCATATAGAAGCATTATTATAATGTTGCAGTTATTTTAACTACCTGGACAATATTAGGGTATCAAAAAATGAAAACATAAATATTTTTTAAAACATAACGACTTTTATTTTAGTTTGTTAATTATATAAAATTCCTATACAAATAAAGTAAATATTAAACAAATAATAAAAGGTAAACTAAAGAATACAATTATTATTATTATTATTATTATTATTATTATTATTATTATTATTATTATTATTATTATTATTATTATTATTATTATTATTATTACAGTACAGTACTGCAATCAATATATTAGTGTGAATTTCACTCAATAACTCTTGAGATTGTTATTCAGATTCATCACTACTGAAACCACTATCATTTTGAGATTTCTTTTTCTGTATGGCTGATACTTTTTTTCCAAATGTGTGGTGTTATGGTTCGGAGTACTTCTGACCACATATTTAAACAATCTTCTTTTTTTTACCATCTCGACCAATATTTCTATTGTAATATTGCTTTGTAATGCCCCAAATAAGTTCAGTTGGATTGAATATACAATGATAAGGAGGGAGGCGTAATACTTTGTCCGTATTGTTCTGCTAGAAGATCAGCTATGTAAATTTTTGGTGGTTTATTTCTAAAAAAGAGTAATTGAGAAATTACAGACGAAACAGATTTCTTTTACTGACTGTGCAACAAGATTCAGAAGTTCCGCTTTAAACATAACAAATGAAAATCTAATATTCTGATTTGTCAGCCACTCTTGTATTTTAATCTTCGTCCAGCTAGCGTTTGGTGTTTTATGTAACAATGTACTGTGATATGAAGCATTGTCCACTATGATTAAGGGTGGTTCATTAAGTTTTTTCAATAACTGTTCTTCAAACCATTTAAAAAAAATTTCATTATTCATTTCACCATGATAATCACTTACTTTGTGACGGAAATATAGCCTTTGCTCCTTCAATGGACCCATTTTAATTTCTAGCATTTACGTACCTTTTACCATCAACTTTTGTAGTTTTCACACTTCTTTTATTTTTATCTTACCAAGAACAGTTTATAGTTTCATTTTGAAAATTCCACGTCTCATCAATAAAAACAAACTGAAATAAACTTGTTTCCTTTTCTTTCATGTAATTTCTTAAAAATATAGTCCGTTTCACAGCAACATCGGAAAGTTCCATAAGCCCTCACCTTGGATCATCTTTTTTCCATTTAAAACCAATATCTTTTAATACAGTGCATTATGACATGCGGCATCCACTAAACAATTATTTTTCTTTTAATTTTTCTAATACAGAATCCACAATTACGTGTTGGTCTGCAAACAAATATGTAGGTATTTATAATTAGATGATATAAAGTGAATAATCTACACTTACTAGCTTCATACATGTTGTAAATAACATCTCGAATTGTACTTTTATCTAGAGTTCTTGTATTAGTTACTTTCTTTGCAGGAAGACGCTTTTTTGGAGGCAATTTCAAAACGACATAATTCTTAACTGCTTGAGAAATAGCACTTACAAATACTGTATCAATGAAGCTATGAGTTCCTTACATCGGCTATTTAATTTCTTTGGCATTTTTAAACCTGCGAGGAAGACAATATGGTTGTTCTTAAAAGGACAGTAATGACCAAATATCCAAAAATAATAACGAAATGTCCAAAAATAATTACGAAATAACCAAAAATAATAAATAACTCAAAATATCAGCAAATTGCAATTACAAGACACAATAAATATATAACAACATTGAAAACTCATAGACGTAGGAATTCAATGTTATAGAATTAAAAAATAACGTGATTTAATAATAATGAGGAGGAGGATGAAAACAATTTTATACTAGTAATAGTTTATCTTCAATGCAACTAAATAAGAAAAAGAAGTGAAGTAAATGAATATTTATCGTTATATGATAAAAAATAAATTACAAACAGATACCCTTGATGAGTTTTTATCATTTAACTAAGTCTAATCTTAATTATATTATTTTCATTGTGTTTTATTTTACTACGATTATCATTATTATAACTTACTCATTATATTTGTATTATTAAATACTCATGTAATTTGACTTGAATCATATAAAAATAAAGAAAATTATGATGATGATTATTCCAAAAAGAAATTTTTCCACTAAAAACAGTCATTCTTCTAGGGTAATTTGACAGTATGTTCTGTGTGCGCTGATGGATACCATGCAACTTGTCATCACCCAAGGATTCCCGAAAAAATGCGAAATGGTCAAAAATGGCTTTGTATCAATTGTCAGATGCCTGATGAATTAAAACTAAATGCAATTCAGTCAAATATTGGAAACGCTTATAGCCATAAGAGTTCTCTAGGTTTGTACTATTTAAAATTTTCTAAAAACTATTGAAATACATAATACTAGTTATAGTTGTACTGAGTGTCTCATAGATTTTTGACCGTCTTAATTATTATTGGAAAAGAAAAAAATATGGTGTATGTGGGATGAAATCATTTACAGGATGAACTCAAATCCACCCCTTGTCAAACCATCATCTAGAAATCAACATTAATTTTTAAAATTATTTCAACTCTTATGTTTTTTTTTTGTTAATATGATAGAGTTTTTCAGTATCACTTTTATTATGATTTAATGGACAAAATTGTACAAATTTGACTTAACATATATAAATTATTTCATTAGATTAAATTTAATTCCTATGTTTATATGGGGTAGATTTAATCAACCCCTTGTTTTCATAAATTTCATTATCATATTTTAAAAAAAAAAATTCATAAAATTTTTATATAGTTTTCATCAAAATTTCATCAAACTTTAACTTTACGAAAAAAAAAAAAATCAATTTTTTTTATCAAATTTCCATATTAATAATAAATTGACCTGGAATGATTACAAAATGGGATGGTTTGACAAAGAGTAGATTTAAATTTTATTCTTATATAATGAAATAATTCATATATAGGGTGTCTCATTAAGAATGGGACACAAAACAACTGAAGATTCTCTGATTAAAAATGAGACGATTAAATGAAATAAGCTTAGATAAAATATTACTGATTTCTGAAATTATTATTAGCTATAATTTTTTCTGTATAATTCTACTAACTTCGGTAAACATTGTTGGTGTCATAAGATATACCTATTAGCAAAACAATCAGTTAAATAAACTACCAGTGGCGTACAACATGAATAAGTAACACTTTCATCCCCTCCAAATTTTACGCCACTGTCCAAAAATTTATTTGGGCTATACTTTTACATTTTTTGATGTTTTTTAAATAAATCATGTATTCTTGTTGAGAACTCATAAAGTGATTGGTTTTCGAGATATTCACATTCAAAGGTGGATATTCTTTATTTTAATTTATTCTTTAATTTTGTAATTTTGTTTTTTTTTTTTTTATAAAATTGCACTGAGCAAATGTTTTTGATGTCATAATGCCAGTGGCGTACGACATGGGTAAGTAACACCTGCATTCCTTCTAAATTTTATGCCACTCTCCAAAAACTTATTTGGACTGTAATTTTGAATTTTTTCATGTTTTTTAATTAAATCATGTACTTTAGTTGAGAATTAAATTAAAATGATATATCCCTCTTTGAGTGTGCATATCCCGAAAAACAATCATTTTATGAGTTCCCAACAAGAGTACGTGATTTATTTAAAAAATATAAAAAAATGTAAAAGTATAATCCAAATAAGTTCATGGGCAGTGGCGTAAATTTTAGAGGGGATGAAAGTGTTATTTATTCGTGTTGTACGCCACTGGTAAAGTTTATTTAACTGATTGTTTTGCTGATAGGTGTATCTTATGACACCAACAAGGTTTACCGAATTTAGTAAAATTATACTGAGAAATTTTCTAGTTTAAAGATTTGCTATATGAATATGTCAGAGCCTTTATTTATTTTTAAAAAAAATTCTAACATAAATAAATATTTTTTATAAAAGTAAATATTAAAAAAATTAAAAGGAATAACAATGCTGGAATTATCATACATTTTTCACTAAATTAAGTGAACATTCAACCTTTTCAGACATTAACGTTGGTACCAAAGTAAAAGTCAAGGAGGGATACTCGTTTATGTATTAAGGGATAAAAACTATAGTAAAATGTTCAAATTAGTATAAAATAATGTAAAATAAGTATTGTTCTCACAAATACAGAGTATGTTGAATTAAATATTTTCTTATAATTAAAATAATGTGATTGTTATTCATTGATCAACCTAGCAATTGGTATGATTAACACAGGTAACAAAACAAATAATATACAGCTTTAATATTTGTTAAGATTAAAAGAAAATGAATCATGCATATAGTGTAGAACCAAAGTTATAATTTAGTCCATTTAAAATAACGTTAAAAGGTCGAGAAACGCCGCACTTGACGAGACCACTTGTCCCCTACGTATTTTGGGGCGCAGATTACGAAATGAGGGTTAAAACTGGCAGCAATGGTTGGAACACCCCTAAAATTGCAAGAAACACCCCTGAATAGGGGTGTTTTTTGACTGTACTTGTTGTTTTGCAGACTAAGCCATCTTATATGTTTTTTGGGGCGCTGATTATGAAAATGGGGGTTAAGGGGTTAAAACTTGCAGCAATGGTTGAACCACCCCTAAAATTGTAAAAAAACATCCCTAAATAGGGGTGTTTTTCGACTGTACTTGTTGTTTTGCAAACTAACTCATCTCATATGTTTTTTGGGGCGCTGATTACGAAAAACATATGAGATGAGTTAGTTTGCAAAACAACAAGTACAGTCGAAAAACATCCTTAATCAGGGGTGTTTTTTGCAATTTTAGGGGCAATTCAACCATTGTTGCAAGTTTTAACCCCGATTTTCGTAATCAGCGCCCCAAAAAACATATGAGATGAGTTAGTTTGCAAAATCAGTATAGTCGAAAAACGCCCCTATTTATGGGCGTTTTTTGCAATTTTAGGGGTGTTCCAACCATTGCTGCCAGTTTTAACCCTCATTTTCGTAATCAGCGCCCCAAAATACGTAGGTGACAAGAGGTCTTGTCAAGTGCGGCGTTTCTCGACCTTTTACAGTTATTTTAAATGGGCTAATAAAATTATTGTTCATTCCAAGTTATTCACATCAAACCAAATAACTCTATTCGCTCAGTGCGAAGTAATGGTAGGGGAAGCAAAAGCGATACTAGCGCAAGCTGCGGATAATTCGAGCACTTTAGGGCGATATTTTGTAATTTTGACTTATCAAATACACATATTTTCTTTTTCTTTTTTTTTTTTTTTTTCAAAAAATAGGTGAAAACAATATAATAAATTATGTTTTCTTTCGAATTAAAAATGAACAAAATAAAAATTACAATTGCCAATGTATCAATTATTTTTCTTTTGGTAATACATTTTGATTCCACGTTAATATTTAATGGTAATTTTTTTATTTTTATGTTATTTAACCCAGTGTTTCTCAAAGTAGAGGGGCTCCGCGAAAATAATAGTCATAATATTCCCATCAGCTTTATGTTTTTAGAAGGGAGAGTACTTTTTTAGATATCCCGAAGAAATGATCAGATTTTTTACTTGATAACTTTTTTTAGAAATGAGAAAGTAAAACAAATCTATGTTTATTATTTTAGGGCTCCGTCAAATATTTCGCTTTGAGAAACACTGATTTAACCTATTATTCAATGATAACTTATTGGGATTAGGGAACTTCTCATACATTTTTTTATAAATACTATTGCCTACCTATGTTTTATTATTGATTATTGGATTATTTTATTGATTTACTTTTTTTAGCTGAAGTAATAAAAATATATAATGATAAATAATTTTTTCACTTGTTTTACAATTCTATTTACTTTTTTTAGAACCAACTTATATATTTTTTAATTACGAATTCTATTAAAAATTGTATTGCCAGTATACGAAAAAATTGTCCGTTAGTTCATAAGTTGCGCTGCTGTCACGCACGGTGCCAATTAGGCATTCCAAACAATGGCTACCCGTAGGAACTGACAGGCACATGATAGGTTATAATATGGCAACACTGTGGACCTGCTAATTTGACAGGATCACTCATACAGAGAGTTATATATATTGATCATCCATGTTTTTAAAAATAAACATATATAAGCATATGCCTTGAAGTTAAAATGTAGTTAATTATTTTTATTTTACTATTTAAAGGCTGGAAATTGGTTTTAAAACACATTTTTGCTAAACCGATTCAAATTAATGAACACTTGCCAGGCAATATGGCAGCTCGTAAACGACCCGCTTTGAGCAATCTATATAACTATATATGTATCAATGACAATAGGTTCACAGGGTTGCCATATCTAAACTGTCAGTTCCCACTAGCAACATTTTGAAAGATCGTTGGAATTCCTAATAGCGAAATGTCTTCAAAACGTCAAATATCAGTTGTCAAAAGTACGCTTTAAGAGTCTAAAGGAGCAAAAAATGGATTTTAGTGAAATAAATCTTTAAAGTTTACTTTTTCAATTAATTTATATTATGAAATCTATTTAACATTTAACGTACTCATTTAATATAGAAGCCTTCTTCCTAAATTTGGTTTCTGCTTATGTCATCTATGACACCTCTGTACTTTTTTTAATAGAACGGTGTCCAACTTTTAGTTTATTTTTACGTAACTACAAAAAAAATGTTTACAAAATAATCTTTCAAGAAAAATGCACAATAAAAATAAAATATTTTAGACACTAACGATAACTCCTCATCAAATTCCGGTAATTCATCACCTTCCTACATTTCTCCATCTACCTCTCCAACGCCACCTCAACTGAGCCCTCAAACCGTTCTACGATCGGAAAGTCCCGATGGCGATGGGCAGTCGGATTCTCAGAGTGTTAAGGAAGAAGATGAGGATGATAATATTGATCCTTCAATACCTGATGCTACACATTGGTCAGCGGATGAAGTATACCGCTATTTTTATCAATATTTTCCCGAGGAAGCTAAAATATTTAAAGAACAGGTAATAAAATCCTTAATACTAGAATAATTAAAAATATATAGATATTAATATTAATAAATAATGAAAAATCAAAATTTCACATATGTTTACAGACATCGCATCCTAATTTGTCAGTGGGGTAAAGTTTGCGCACTGCTGAAACACTTTCAAACGATCTTACTGGCTACTATTAAAGCTCAGTAGCGTATGCTACTTTCGCTTAAAATAAATTTTCTAGGAGCTTTAAAACGATCACGCTCAGATTAATCACAAAATTTTAATCCTTAATAACGGTCAAATCGAGTACGCCCTCGTTTTTAAGAATGTTTTATCACCCGTTGCTATCATTTGTTGGTATTATAGGAAGTACCTACACAATGGATCAAATGCAATTATGTAAATAGGTTTTTAAGTACTACAGAATTTGTTAAAATTTATTTGTTATCTATGAGCTAAAATGTATTCTGTTAAAAAAATTTATTGGGTGAAAAAAAATGATGATTTTGCACTTGAGATCTTTAATATTTTAACAAAATCTGAGGGTGAAGTAGAAGTGGTGAAAGTCATCAGCATACAAATATTAAAATAAGACAACGAGGATTTTTTTATAAAATATGTTATAGGTCAACAAATACTGAATTTATACTAACCTCTATTCCTTGTTGCTATAACTACTATCAAACAAAATAAATATAAACAAATTAACAGAGTTCTAAAAAATCGTCATCAAAATTATCACTATCACTGCTGTGTTCATTAACATTAATAATAACTGTAGGAATTGCAACATCATTCATTATAATTTCACAATCTAAATATTTATCTTCGACAGCTATTACATGTGCACATCTTTTTTTCCAGTCTTCTTGGGTAACTGATTTAAATTCAATTTCAGCTAACATTTGTACATGTGCTAATTTAAAATGAATATTCTTTATAGCTACATTATTTTTTACTACAGTCCAGATCATTTTTATTGGATTTAAGTGGTATGGTGATAATCTCAAAACTGTATGACCATTTTTATGCTGTTTGATTAATGTGTATAGCTGTGGTCGTAATAAGGAAGGTTGAAATTCAATATTGTTGGACGCTTTTCTTGAATTTGAATTCGGAGCAGGATTTTCTATTGTGACACAGTGCATTATCCACAACTACAATAGCATTTGGTGGTAAATTTGGTATTAACAGTTCTCTTAGCCACTTTTCATAATTTTCTTGATTTATATCATTATGATAATCACCAGATTTGGCCCCAGACACAAACATTAATAAACTGTTAGGAATAACGCCCATATTACCACCAGCATAAACTATAATGAGTCTCTTTCCTTTCGAAATGATGAAAAACAAACCTTTTGCATTATCATCACCCCAATTATGTCATGATGTATGGCTACTAGTCGATATGAGATAGTGAACATGGTCGATTTATTTGGTTGTGGTTGTAACTAAATTGCTATTATCGAGTAACAAGTCCCAGTGAACGGACATGTTTTTGAGCTCCGATTTATTGTTTATCTAAAAAGACCTCCACAATATTACCAAAAACAAATATAAGTCAAACTAAAACAGTAATTCAACGATGTATAAGTGATAATATTGTAGTTATCTAGTTCATGATAAAAGTGCAATTAAAGAGGTATTTATTTATGAAAATATCTATTAAGTTCAACCAGAAATCGGTAAAAACCAGTTTATTCCAATAATCTTGACTGAAGTTTTTACACTTGACGAACATATGGCAGTGGCTATTTTACCATACAAACGTACCAAATTAAATTTCATTTAATTTTTAAATAAAATGAAAGTGATATGGAGTGTTTTACTTGTAAACAATCTCTAGAACCTGAGAAAAAGATTATAAACAATAAATGTGATCTTTGCTCCCAGATTTATTGCAGCGAGTGTTCACCAATAACTGTAACAGAGGACAGATGTATGAAATTAGCTAAGAGGATTCTAAAATTCTTTGGCACTGATTGCGACAATAAAAAACTATGGCTTAACTCCCAACAAATAAGTAATGATAACAAAATTTTACATGATCAAAACATAGAATTACAAAGAGAAATAAGAAAACTACAAGATGAAAATAATGCTCTACATTTAGATAAAAAAAGTATTGATTAAACCACTAGTACAACAGAAAATACAACGCATGCTATATGATAATATAGAGAAGCATTTGTTGTCCAAATTAACTAAAACAGTAAAGAGTAAAATATCCTATGAAATAAATAAAATGAGGACTAATCTAAATAATGTGACTGAATCTAACGTTGAACTGTTGAAGCTGCTTAAAAGTGGACCTAATCAATTTGTGTATCATACACACCATCAAATGCCTCATGAAATCAGTCAACCAAAATCTCATATCATGAGTCAACAAATATCAGGCCTCAAATCAGGCATGAATCAATTATCAGGAATTCAAATCCTCATCAACATGGTAAACATTCCACAAATTATGTTAAATATAATGAAGATGTTCAGTAACAAAAAAAAAGAAGCACACCCAACTCTAACAATTTAGTAATACAAGATGAAATATTTCTACTCGAGATGTATCAACTCCAATTATGTTTAATCCCAATGCGTTTCTCTATGATAACGAAAATGCGGAAGGGAGTAACAAACATAAACAAGATTGGCATAAAGTTTCGCATCGTAAAAAGAAAATACAAGTTGGAGTATCAACAGAACTTGATAGTGGCGAAAATGCTTTGCTTGGTACTACCAAAAATAATAAAAAAGTGAAGAAAATTTGTCTATTTATCTCTAGAGTTAAAGATGCTGTCACTGATCAGACAATAAGGAAATATATAGCTACAAAATCAAATCAAACTGAAGCTAATGTTTCTGTAAAAAAGCTGAATACCTGCCACAACAATCAAGATAATAATTGTTTCCTTGTTGGTGTAGATCCAACAATAAAAGAAGTATTGTACATGAATTCATTTTGGCCAAAAAATGTATGCTTCTCAAGATTTGACTTTAGGAAGGGTCAACATTTCCTCGACAATCCCGCTGTTTACAGAAAAACTGGATCTGGGTCGTTTTTAATAGCAGACACGAAATAAGTACTGAATACTATGTGCCTTCTAAAGTTTTCAATACTACTGAGTCATTCAGGGGTTCAGCGGGGGCTATGTCCATCTTTCATTGGAATATTCAATGTATATGAAACAAAAATCGAAAGGTTTAGTATAAAAAACGCATCTATTAAGATAATCTGCATCACTGAGCACTGGTTAAACAATCATGAAAAAGATTGTTATAATTTAATGAATTTTAGAATGGCTAGCAGTTTTTGTCGAAGTATATATAAAAATGGAGGTTCATGTATATATGTGCATAAATCTCTAGAATTTATAGAGCTAACAAATATTGTCATCTCTTCAGTGGAGAGAGTTTGTGAGCTTGCTATGTAAAACAAAAGAATATTACAATAATCTCAATTTATAGGTCTACTTTTTACCATAATTTGAGCCATTTTATGGACATATTGCGCAATGTTCTTGAGCTGGCTTATAACTTCAAGAAATCTTCTAAAAGTAAATTACTTATAACAGGAGATTTCAATGTAAATTTTTTAGATCCAAATGACCAAAATGCCTCTAATATTAAAAATCTTTTTTTATGCTACAATCTGCATCAAGCAGTTCACCAAAATACTAGATACAATAAATGCTTAGATAATTTTTTTATAAATTTTGACATGTAATTGAAATGGGTGTCTCGGATCATAGGGGACAGTTAGTAGAAACTCAAGAAATCTCTGAAATAAAAAAACAACTTAACTTGTATTAGAAATTATTATTCACACAACAATATTGAACTATTTCTGAACTATTTAAATTCTGAAAAATGGCTAGAAGTTTATGATGAATATTTGGCGAAAGATAAAAATAATGTTTTTATTACAATCTTCAGTTCATATTACAATATATGTTTTAAATCCAAACCTCAAATGCAGAATAAAAGGCAGGGCTCTTATTGGGTTTCTCCCACAATTACTGTGGCAAAAAATAGACTGCTGTTTTTGCATGAATAGTTTTAATTGTAATTTGACGAGCCATAAAATGTAATATTTTCTCAAGTAAATAAAGTTATTGTATTGTATGTAAGTTTCATCAATATGTACGACGGTTTTGAGAACGAAAATATCTAATTTTTTTAATATCTATCCTTTTTCCCTGATCTCAAGCTGTTCTATTAGAACCTCTCTGTTTCGCGTTTTTCGCCACTTGAACCCAATTTTTTTTAAAATAGTTCTTAATGATGTGTAGCTCCCTTTCTACTCAATTTTCTTTTTTAATTTTTCACTAAGAGTTTCGTGAAATCTATGAACTATATATCTGATTGTTCCAATATTGTAGGATGGAATATCTGTTACACTTGATGTTCTTTTGCGCTTTTTTGGACTTTTAAACAATTGTTTAGTTATGGTCGACGTAGACTTTTCACCTTTTGATATCTGGTCACCTTCTATAATTATTCGTTCAATTGTTTTTACCGAGTATCCTGTAGCTGCAGCAACTTGTTCTTTAATTTCAGTCAGAGTTTTACTATCATCGTTGTTTTTATTCAAAACTATTTATTGCCGAGGAACATTTTTTTTTTTTTTATAAAATATTTGAATAGATGAATTATTATTTCCTTTACCTATTATTACCTAAATGTTTCGGCATTTTAACACAAGTAAGTCACTACTCAAAAGAAAATACTACAAACAAATAAAAATTGAATATAACTCAAAATCTGCACACTACATAAACACAAATTCAAGAAAATATTATCATTTACTGATCACCCCTGAGACAACACGGCTATTGTTTGCATCTCTCTTTAACAGTTACAGTAGGCGTTGACAATTGAAATTCGAGATTAACGCACATCCCCTCTTCAGACAAATTAGGTTGCGATGCCTGTAACCGTTTTATAAATTCTGTTAAAGAGATAATCAGTTCTATGTTTAGAATAAGGATAATTTCCTGACCGTAACAGAATTTTATATAAATAAAAAATTCCTTGATTTGTTCGGTCAAATAGTTTTTATTTTTTATAATTTAAGCACAAGCATTTAATATAAAATTCTTTTACTCTTAAAATAATGAGAGCCATAATTTATTCTATCGAAAGGTTGTGAGAATGTTGCTCTATTTATTATAGTACAATTAGATTGTCGTCCTTCCACATGATGTCACAAGGTTGCCTTTAGGAAGAATTGAGAGAGCTGGGACGGGATTAGAATTTGTGTCGACGAGAGTTGGAATCTAATTGATTTAAAATTTACATGTTCGGATGTAGAAGCCATGGGTTTTGATGCTCCATTCTTTCTTTAATTATCAGCTATTTCAATTTTTATTTAGCTTGTTTTTACTTTGGGGATATGGGGCTGTATTTTTCATAATTTGGTAGGGGGAATTGGAGATTATTCAATGTTGATAGTTTCAAAAATTTATATTTTATTGATTTGTAATCCAATTATTTTAGCAATGTAATGTATTTTTTAGGAAATTGATGGTAGATCGCTTCTTCTTTTGAAGAGAATGGATGTTCTAACAAACCTTAACCTAAGATTGGGTCCAGCGTTAAAAATTTATAGACACGTCGTGAAATTACAAGTAAGAAGAGACGATCCGAAATTGTATTGGCTGTAAATGATCTCATTTATTTTTGTTTTTATTAATTTTTTATTTAAGTATTAATTAATTTTGTATTTGTTATATAATTCAGAATCAGCAGACTGTTTTTATTGAAAATTTTGTATATTTCGAATGATTTTTTTCAAGCTGCAGTTATTTGACTATAACTAATTTAAAGTTTTAGACATTTTTGACTGAGTTAAGGTTGTGCTTATTCAGTTTGCTTATCAATGATATAATATTGATATTTTAAGATAGTTCCTTGACAAGCATTGAGAGGAGTATTTGTGATATTAAACTTCTGAAGCTCAATAGAAACAATTGGAAAGTTATTTTTTTGCTATTTTCTTAAAAAATAATGTTTTTTAAGAACAGCAAGGAGAAACATTCCAGAAACGTTGTACATTATTTTTAACAATATTTTTTTAAAATGCAATAAACCTTATTTATTTCTAATTATCAGTAATTTATACAACGAATTTTTATTTATATCATTTAAATGTTTCACGAACAATTTCATATTTGATAATCGCTTGATATACAATTGAGGTTACATTAAAAGATCAAAATTAGGGAATATAATATTTTTGCGTCGTTTTTACACAAATATTTTAAACTATTTCTAATATTGAAGAGCTGGTCGAACCTTACTGGGTTCTACATTGGTTTAAAATATACAGGGTTGGGCAAAATTAGCGAAATATCAGATTTAAGGGTCGAATTTCTTTTTTATGTGAGTATATTTTGATGTACTTATATTATTTATGACGTCATCAATATTCGAGATACAGAGTATGCTTTAAAGTTGAAACGATAAGGAAAGTTTTTGAATATTATGTTTGGAAAAAACGTCGTAGGACAATCACGCCTGCTTATTTAAAAACTTCAAATAGCCCCTATCAAAGTTGGCTACTGACGTTAGTTATCTGCCAAATTCGCGATTTTTTAAAAATCGTTCAAAAATTGTCGTTTTTTGAAATATGAAAAAAGTTATTAGACAAATTTGTTTCTTATGACATTTTACGTCAATATTTGAGAATAATGCGTCGGAACGGAGAAGTGTCGAGTAGGTGGGGCGTCGGGTAGGAAAAGCGTTGGAGAATTTATTTGGATTTTGGAACTGAAGTAGTGAATTCTGAATTGAACTGAATAATGAGTTCGCCGGGATTGGATATTTATATCAAAGGATATTTAAAATATTTTTTTATGGTCCCATGGGACATTTTTTAACCGACTTCAAAAAAGGAGTAGGTTCATGTATGTTCAGCGATAATTCTTTAACACGGTATCCAATTTCAATGATTCTTTTTTTGTTAGAAAGGGGGTACTTCAGGGATGGTCCCATATTAAATTGGTCAAAATCTAATTGAGACCATTAGAAAATCCTCAAACTCTTCATTTTTAATGTATGTTTAGCTGTAATTCTTTACCACCTTGTCCGATTTATATGATTATTTTTTTGTTAGTAAGGAGGTACCTCAGGAGTGGTTTTATCGCTTTTGACTATCAAACGTTCCCGAGCAAATCTCTAGACCTTTTTTCTGCCGTTACATAAATCACATTTTCTACATCCCATCGGCAATTGACCCAATAAAATCTTCCCAAACTCGTGCCAGTGTCCTTTTGGTACCAAAATGTTCTGAACGGCTGCTATGAGGCTCCTTCAACACACTTCTGACATGTAACTTCGGCAGTACCAATTGCGGACTATATGACTCCATTGGACTTCTCCCACATCCGGTGCAATATGTCATCGTGTGAAGATTCAGGGAATCCTACTGAGTCCAATAAACTATAATAGTTCCAGTATATTTGGGTATCTCTTGCCAAGTAGGTCTAACTTTTTTTAACTCATTCTCGGATAACCTTCAAGTCATTGTCTTTCCTTTGTCTCTTTCTCAGGCTTTCAAGGGTTATTTCCTCTTTGTCTAACTTCTTCAACCGGTACCTTCATTGTCGTTCTAAACAGGGTCGCCTGGAAAGTGTCTGCGTTGCTATGGAGACGGGCTCTTTAATGCACTACTTCCTGATTATTGCTAGAAAGCCGACAAGGTGTGGGTGACTGACTTCTCTAGAAAGCATATCTGCTGTAATTATTTCCTATTGATCTTCGTGACGGGCTTTTGGAGATTGATCTAAGCGACTTTTTGTCCTCATTCCACGATTCTCGATCTATAGAACGTGCCTTGCTTCTACAGGTTCTTTGAAGGTGTCCGATTCTTTGGCAATTGCTTTCATTTTGGTTGTTTCGTTGCATATTTTGCAGGATGTTTAAGATTTGTGAGAGAGTATGTTAGGGAGTAGTCTGTTTCGTGATACATTGAGGTTTTCGAAGCTCGAATTAAAAAAAAATAAATTAAAAAAAAATAAATAAAACAATTTAGACATTAGACGTCATATGAAACATAATTTTGGTGTTTTCGAAGCTTGAAAAACTAGAACACATTTTCCGTTTCAATGTTGTGATGCCGGAAAAACCTCATTTTCTAAAATAACACGTCACGAGTTTGACGTTTTTGATTCATCAGAAGAGTAATGTGTGAATACAAGATAAGTTTCCTGTCCACTATAGCAGTCTTTAATCAAGCGAGCTCATGACCTACAAGGGGACAACTTTTGATATTTTGAATCTTAGCGATTTTTTATGGTAGTTTCCTTGGAAAAATTCCCTTGTGCATACAAAAGCCCTTTATAAACGCAATCCAAACAACTCGCGCGTCATAATTATTGTAACATTGATTAGTAATATATTGTATCATGCATGAATAAAATCATAACATAATACTCAACTGTGATTGGATCATAAACTATTATTAGCCTGATAACTGTTTCTTTTTCTTCCAGTCTTTTATCTCTTTAGGCCATTTTTTACGTCTGTTTAGTACCTTTTACTTATTTGTCTCTTTCATTAGATATCTGCAGTACAATCTTGTTCTATTTTTCTGCACACGGTCACCATATTCCTTATATGTTTAATTCCTATTTTCATATTACATAATGAATGTCCTTATTTTTTTATTAATTTTTTCTTGCTTTGGTTTTCTATTTCATATCAATTTTATTTTATTGAGCAGCTATTCACGTTCTTCGATAATTTATATATATCTCCCCGTATCATGTACTTCTTTTCTTCAATTTTCCCTCATGTTTTTAAACGTTTTGTCTTTTTAATGAATGCCCAGACTTTGTTAACAAGGTAACATCACATCGCCTAGTGAGAACATTAGTGACCTAACTCATTATTGACAACTACAGCTACCGAGCGGACAGTAGTAGAACTATAATTTCGCCAGTTATGTACCAGTTGCGGGCTACATTAAGCAATTTTTTGAAGTACACAAGTCAAAAACGTGTATTTTTGAGTTACGTCACTGATGTTCTCACTAAACGACATGTATTTACTATAAGCTGTTATTTTCATTAAATGGTTTCTAGTGAACAATGTAAAAAACATCTGTCTCAGGTTGACTTCACGAATCTTAAAAGACCCACTCGATGTCCTTCGTTGTAGACCAATTTTGTCTCACTAACCAAAATGTCAATTTCTATTATACATATATAACTTTCTCTTGATATGTAAATATGACATTTCCATTAACATCTTCCATTAACATCTTCAATGCCAAAGGAATTTCTAGAATTCGTTCTCTTAGAACAAAGCAATATTAAAAAAAAACTATATACGGCAAATTTAGTGACAGAATTTGTATTTATTAAAAGTTAACTGTCATTGGAACCAACAGTACGTCCCACTAATATAGCGTATTTAAATAATTCAAAATAACGTAGATCCCATTTGGACTAAGCGAACAATTTTTTAAATTTCACTTTGTAAAGCCATTGAGATAGAATAAAAAGGAGATGTTATCACGATGCTAAAGTAACCGCTCTTTTGCATTACATTTTTACGTCATATGTCAAACTAGAATCAGTTTTGGTGAGAATAAATGTCTTTTTTTGCAAATAGCTTCATTTAAATGATATAAAATCATTTTTATTACGTCAGTCTTCAAATATAAAATTATTGACTTCATATAAATCAAAGTTCGACTGAAGTCGCCATTTTCAAAACATTTTTCCGTCACTTGAAGTGCGTCGATCTATAAAAACGCAAAATAGTGTATATGTTGCCTCCACTTTATTTTATCTCGATGTATAAGGCGAAATACCCAGACATAATCTCTTGTGGCGGCTATTTGTGATCTTCCTGGCATTGCACGTGTTTTAATAGATTTAGTTATCCGGTAATGTATTTATTAAATATTTTAAGCGTTGTTTAATGGATAGAAAAAGTTAACCCAAAATATTATTCAAAAAATGCATCTACTGAAATAGTTGTACAGTCGCTTTGTATTTAAAAAAATATATATAATTAAATTTCTTCTTTCTGACGATTTGTAAATACTTAATTTTGCCCTAAATCATTTGTAAATAAATGAATTGAACGTTATTCGATAATTTCCAAAAACGTTTGTCTTTCTTAAATTTATTTAAATTTCTATTTATTTTCTGTCGTATGTTTATTGTTAATAAATATTTGTTTTTATATTATTTTAGTTTTATTTAAATTGTTTATGTTGCTCTATACGTGTATGTAACAACGACATATAATTTCATTTGGTGGATCAACGTGTCAACATAACAATTATTTCCAATGAAATACACTAATGTGTAAGTTAACAAAGAATGTCAAAAAAGAGGGCGATTTAAAGGTCCTTTGTAGAAACTCGTTTCCACTTGAAAGTTGCTGATTCTCTTAGGTTTACAGTAGTTAGGGGACGTCCATTAGTTACGTGAGGTGTTCAAGGGGGGAGGGGGTCAAGCTAAATTTTTCCAAATCTCACTTGTAAATCTGACGTAATTTTTTTCTAGTAGAAAACGGGGAGAGGAAGTCAAAAAAATCCTCAAAAATACCTCAATTAATTAATTGACGCTCCCTTATGTGACTTTACACTTAACATAAAAGGAGAAATGAATTATTTTTTTCGATACATATCTACAAATGACTCTCTTAAAACTGCTAAACATTGTTACTTCCAACCGAAAATATCTCCAATATTAGTCTTTAATTAATTTAGAACAATATACTATCAAGGAATAGTACAGCACTCACCAGCGGATCTGCAAGTCCTGAAGGAACATCCATTCACCTCTGGTCAAAATGAAATAAAAACATAATATTCCCTTAATAGCATAGTTGAATGGTTTTGGCAACTGACTGATAGTTTAGGGGTAGAGACGCCGAGACTTCACAAATCCTAGGAGTATTTTCATAACTGGTTTTAGGAAAGGGAGGAGAAAATAAGTGAATAAACAGTAACATATCTATATTTAACCCTTTAAGGTCCATTTACACCACTAGTCGTTAAGAAATAAGCCAATATCAAAATGACAGTTTTCTTATTACAAATGTCATTTTAATCTTCGATTATTTCTATTCGCTCCGTGCGAAGTCATGGAAAGGGAAGCAAAAGCGATACTAGCGCTAGCTGCGGATAATTCGTGCATTTTAGGGGGATATTTTGTAATTTTGGCATATCAAATACACGTATACATTTTACTTTTTTTCAAAAAAGTAGGTAAAAACAACACAATAAGCAACCGGAGTTGCTGTGTTGAAAATTGTACAAATACTAGCAAAAAAAAACAGTGAAACTTATATAACAAATTTCACTAACAAAGTGGAAATTAAATCAAATAAATAAATGGATAGGTGTACAATAAGAAGAAAAATTATCTTTATTTTTGTGATAATAACAGTAATGCTGGAAATAGTAGACATCAGAAACTAGAAAGTTTTTAAATAAACAATAAATTATCATTTTACGATGTTCTTTAATATCCCTTTATTCTTAAATGTTCATTCAGCAAGGACTAGATTTCAAGATTTCTGCCGTTGATTATAATATTTGGCTGGTATGCAATTTTGTGACTTACTGATCGGAAACCAGTTTTAATCATTCATTCTATGTTTTCTTTAGAACAAAAATGAAAATATAAGTAGCGATCCTTTTTATACATTTTAACTTCACGCTATTATAAATGGTTTCTTCAATGACAACTTATTAGACTTAGGCAACTTCTCATACATTTTCCAGTAAATACTGTTGCCTGCCTATATTTTATTATTGATTTTTAATGATTATACATAATTTTCTTCAATTTAAGCGTGAAAAATATATAATAATAATAAATTAATGTTTTAATTGTTTTATAAATCCATATACTTTTATTAAAACTAACATATATACTTTTTATTTACGAATTCTATTAAAAATTGTATTTATCAGTATAGGCAGAAATACTCCTTTAATACCAAAACAAATTGGCGCTGCTGTCGCGCACGGAGCGAATAGCCGTGCAAATTTATATCTCATATATGACCTCTTACAGTTCATCAAATTTCTAGAGGCTTTCGACGGTTAGACAGAGAAAGCACTACTGACAGGCATCCCGACGGATTTACGCAATGAAAGTACACTCTGCGCATCAAGTATTACACTATTTCATTCAGACGTAAATGTCAGATGTAAATTTCGCTAAAACATTTCTTTTATTTTCGTTTGTGTTTTTTGCTCATTACAGTTTAATAGAACCTAAGTATGGAGTTTAATAGCAAATCAAGAGGCCGCGTGATTAACAGTCAATCTCGCGAAATAATAGCCAATGTTATAGAGTTTATGAGAAGAGAAGGAAACTTTAATTCACCTTCAATACCATTTAAAAATGTAAATGATCGTGTTGCTGCAGCCAACAGGAGTATCTAAAAACACTATCGTCCGCATTTCTGGAGAGAAGAAAAGAATCGATAACCGTGAGATATCGGAATTTTCATCACCAAGAAAAACCATTAAAAAACCAAAAACAGTTAATGATATAGATGAAGCTGCACAAGAATCAAATTTTATTTTTTTATTATTAGATAGCTATTTTTGTTTCTGAGTTGTGTTCATTTACAGGCTCAATTTTTTTCCGTTTCTCCTTTTTGATTTTATATGGGGTTTCAAGTTGTTTTTGACTTATTTCGACGTAAATCACAACAACACACTTTTTTAATAAAGCAAACAAGTGTTAAGAGGTATATGTACGTGTAAACTACAATTACAAAAAATTGATATGAAACCCATGAAACCACCAACAAAAATGTAAAGCTAGCTTCCGTACTAGAACATGGTGTCATTCGTCGAGATAATTTATCGTTTTGTTTAATAGATCAAGAAATGTAAATATTCCCCTGTTATTTTTTATAAAATTATAAGAGAAATAAATTTTTTTCTAAATAGTATAGTTTATTATTTTGTAGAAAAACAAAATTTCGAAAATTTTAGTAATGTTTCAGAAACAACCGTTATTAATAATAGGTACCATTTTCCTTAATAAGGTAGAAATAAAATATAAACTATTTCCACGATTTACAAAGGCCTACAAAAAAATTATAGGTATTTTCCGCTATCCTATAAAATTTATATTTTCTGACTCAATTTCAAAAGGTTGAAGGAATTCCAAAACACCTTTTATGGCATAATAATTATTTTCAATTCTACATACTATCTTTAGCTGCTTTTAAAAACGTTCTAAGAAAGTCCAATCAGACCAATTTAATCCCTAAACTATTCCACACTTTTAAAATTTAATTACCTAAAAATATTAAAAACTATTTAAAATAACTTGTTTAGCAGACTGTACAATAGCTATCTTAGTCACACGTAGCGCGTTCTCTGTCAGGGCGTCGAACACCTCTAGAAATTTGATGAACTGTAGACATAAATATGTAAAATTAGTCACAATATAACTTTTTATATTAAAAATTTTTTGAGGTGGGAAATATATATCCCAGAGAAACTTAAGTGTAGCGACGAAAGATATCTCTGCTATCAGAAGTCTTTTTTAGATACACAATTATGATCTATAAATAAACAAACAAAAAGATAAGCAAGTAAAGAAAACAAAATGGGTTTTAGTGATCTTTATTTCACACCTAATTGGTCTACAATTTTCTGCATTCAGCAGTCAAAATTTGTACTAAAAAATTCCTAAGCCCTATTATTTTATGAAAAACATGTAGTTTCATTTATAACAAACATTAATGGTTGCATAATGTTTGTTATATGTGCTGGTCAAAATGTTTATATAAAACAAAAACGTTTATAAATAAAAATTCACCTAATCTCAATGCGCAAATTCATTTTGTAGCACTGTTCACTATGAAATAACAAAATTTCTCACTAAACTTTATCATTTATTACTAAAAAAAAATATATCTGCCTGTACTTGTCACAAAATGTATTTGTTTTTGTAATAATCAAAAGATATTTGTAAATAAGAAAAGTAGTGTCCTGGAGAGACTTCCCTCTAAACATGAAACATTACCAGTCTTTTTTTGTAACGTTTCTCATAGAGACTTGATATATTTTTGAAACGATACTAAAATATCCCATAGATGTTTAATCATATTAATTAACATTCCTCGCAAATGAAGTTTTATGTACGCTGTAATACTTGAATTAGCAGTTACATAAACATCTTCTGTACTTCTTATTAGTTACTTCGTGTGACAAACATTTATACGATGTTAATTTTTTTAAATCACAATAATATCGCATACAGGTCAGCACAGTAATGTGTACAAGTTACACATCTTTAAAATGGCTATCTTTAGTCTTTACATCGCAGACCTGACAGTTCGTCCCGCGTTCATACCAATGATCGCTTGCTACTTACGTAACCGGTAGTACTGTATATTATGGAGCAATCTGTTGCCGTTGCCCAGTATTAAGTATTTGATCAAAGTTCTTTTTACCTTTGATATTAATTTAGACCATTGTATTATATCATGCTTTTTTTGTAAAATTTTCTGGGATTAGAAATTACTGAAATTAGAAGTTAACTTGTCTTCTAATCTTTTGACTTCGAGTTTATTTATTTTTATTCTGCTTTATATAGATGAAATATAAAATATTTATATAATATGGTCCATATAAAATTTAAAAGATAAAAATAAAAAGGTATGAACTGTATCGTATTTGAAACGTCACATTTGGTTCATTAATATGATTTTATTTTATGGGCTTTTATAATAACATATACAAGAAGTAAAAAGACTTTCTTGGATATAACAGGAATGTCACATCTGGTTTGTTAAAAAGACAATTTTTGGGAACTTCCAATAACGTTGAATAACGTAACAAGGTATAGCGCTGTAATATCACCGTCTACATTGTTTTATAACAAAAGTAACCGTCCCTACTCTGGGCTTGGACGGTTATGAGTCCGTCCTACAGATGAAAACAACAGTAAAAATGAGAATTACAATGTAAACAATGTGATGTAAAGTTCTCATTAATTTAACGTTTACATGCATAGTGGGTGGAAGGGAAGAATAGCAACCACCCAGTTTTGATTCAAACCACATTAAAGAATTGGGCAATTCCCTAACTACAGATTTCAGTAAATTTGTTTTATGTGGGGTGAGAAATTATTATTCCAGAGACACTTAAAGGGTGTAAAAATCTACAAAATTAAATAGTTTCAAGATAAATAAACCCATAATTTTATTTAAGCACTAAGCAAATTTAACCTGCTATGACAAGCTCTAGTTGATAACATGTCCGAATTTTTTGATAAAGGTTTAAATGAGATCATTAGACGTGATACAGAAATGATAGGTAGGTAGTAAATTTCGTACTGGATTATATAGTTTGGACTTAATAATTATATCAGTGGTGCTTGAATGTAAGAGCTGTAGGGTTACAGCCCCTCAGTAGGTACAAGGAGAAACCAATTTATACTTGAATGAAGATATATAATGCTTGGCATTCTATATTATACTCATACTCTAACAGTTAAGGGGTCTGTATCGATACATTTCTCATATATAGGTACCGATGCTGTATAGAGGTATTTGAGGATTTGAGAACGAGCCTGAAACGGCGCTTGGACCGAATTAGCACATCAAATTGTCGTCTCGGGATCTGGTGATGGTCTATAGGTAGGGCATTTGTGCGCAAAACAAAGATGCTTGGGTTGGATTCCCAAGACGACAGGCTTTTTTTCAAATCTCCAAGTATCTGTTTTCACTTTGAGGCTCGGGTATGGTCTTAATAATTCGTAGTGGGATTTTTGAGATTTGTTTTCGAATTATCAAATTATTTCTTCAACTTATTTCAGATAATTCCGACTTTTCGGATTTATATTTGCGAAGACAGAAAAATGAAATCTGCCAATCGCTCTCAAATTATGCGAACTACTACCCCTACAAATTTGGACGCTAAGTTCGGAAACACCCTATATTACTACGAACAATTAATTAGGTAAAATTGATTTGCTGTCGTGTGCTTCACTACTTAAAATTTAAAAAGGGTGGTCATTCTTCCTATCATCCAAACGCGACGCGATAAAATATAACCAGTATCAAATGGGTCAAATTAGGGAGAATTATTATTCATGGGTCATTAAAACATAATATGATTAAGTGATCCGACTTCTCTATACTCCTAAAAAGAATCATCTTTAATGCCACTGTTGAAGCCATTTATTCCAAATTTCGTGTTTGATAGAGGGTAAAAAGTTAGACTTATTAAGTTTAATATCTACAGGAATTTTAAGGTTTCACCTTATATACAAAGGGATGTGATTGTTCTTTATATTAGTATTTTTTCTTTGTTAAAAAGGAACTATGATCGGTTTCTGCAGAAAATAAATATTTATACACAGTGTTCGGTTTTTAAAACAAAATAAAACAGATATAGGTAGGCCTTTGATTGAATTTGGTATTAAATTATAGGGAATACCAGAAGACAAATTAATGAATCTTATACCTGTACTATAAATAAGCGATAGACTTTCACAAAGCAATATAAAATATCCAATATAAAATCGATGTATTTTACTCTCATGCAAAGTAGGGAATTTGGTGTCAAATTACAAGTTCCGGAATATGGACTACACTAGTAATAATCCTTATATTTCTATGCGATGTATCATTCACAGTGAATCGGTTTCGAACATATTAATATAGGTGTTGTTTACTTAAGTTTTGCTTACCGTTTAGAGAAAATCCTTTAGACAATACTCAGTTGAAATATTTATATTCCCAATTATCTTATTTGCATTTTGATATAATAAACGTAGAGATTTTGGGCCATTAACTTCTAGGTTTATTAGTGTTGTTTGTTGTTTAGTTTATAGTACCTATAAAAAATGGATGAGACAGGGGAAGAGACGCCGATGATAGCGTTTCGGACAAATGGATCATCGCCAGAGTCATATGTAAGTTATTTTAAATAATATACTATGATATTGATTAAAATAAAATCATATATTTTTAAAAATACCTTATAAACGATTTCGTATTATCGAAAAATGATGAACATACTTAACATCATTAAATAAAAAAAATTAGTACCTACCTACTTGTTGTTTTGGTCTAAGTATAGCCTAGAAAAGAAAGAAGTACAACAATTTAGTTTGAAGAACGTAGTACAGGTTCAAGAGGTAGACATTTTATTTATAACTCATTCTTCAATGCTTATTTGCAGTTAAAATTATTTTTTTTCTCTCTAACTTGACGCTGCTTATTCACTCTATTTTCCTCTTCAAATCATCCTTTTCATATAATATAACCAGGCTATACAATAGGTTTCCGAGACATGTTTTTACTTGCTCATTGAGAACTATAAAACAAAATATAAAAGAACTAACATTCTACACTTGTGCTTTATATTTACTCTGTCTATTTATTATATTATTATCTATGCGTCATTAACATGGAAGGAGTTGAACTTGTTTTTATCTAGCTTATTATATTTTTTAATTAGTTTAGTTAAATAGGTTGAGAGGAAGAGAAAACTTACCCTTGCTTGCAAGGACTAGACCTAACTCTTACTTTTGTATTTATCTGTATTTTTTGTTTTTTGCCAATAAAAGCTTTTATTATTATTACCATTCAAAATTTAATCTACGAAGTGTGTATATATTACCATTTTATATGGCTTGACCTTATTTATATTATAGGAACTTATTTTGTAAAGTACGCCTATAGAATGTGACCCTTTTTTAGTGCACTCTTCTTTTATTTAGACTATAGAATAGTTCAAGAAATCTATATATGATGTGGCTTATGAGAGTTCAGCTTTAATATTAGTAGAGGAGCTGTCAAGAAATTGCGTATACTTATCGTACATTCTTATTACTATTTTAATTATTTCAGCACCTATTTTGATATTTTCTTAAGCAGTTTGAGGTTAGGTTGATAAAGTTCATAGATTAATAAATAATAAACAATAGAGAGGTGAGTGATGGATTTTTGTGAATTCATTAAAAAGTAAAGTAAATGGGAAATCAATGAGATTGATTTAAATATAATATATAATTATAAGATCAAACGAACTTTCCTTAAGTGAAGTTCGATCTTGATTATACACTGCGCTCCCTTCGAAGATGATTAAGTAAACGTATTATTCATTTATGAGCTAGTTGTGCACCATAGTCCAAAGCCAAGAACTGATAACCTAACTCTATGTAATTACCGCGCTCTGCAGGCGTGGCTGTCACTTCTTCAAAGCCTTGTCGCAACTGTGATGATCTGGGATTCACAGGGCTGGGTTGGGAGAGATCATGTTCGAAGGGAGCGCAGCGCAGTGCATAATCAAGATCGAACTTCACTTACGGTAAGTTCGTTTGATCTTATAAATATACACTGCGCTCCCTCCTTCAGATAATAAGTAAACGTAGATGTTTAAAGACAGTTGCGACCACAATAAACAACACAATTTTCAATAAATCTTTATTGCAAAGTTTACAACTGTAACAAAAACAAACGAAAGTTTAACTATAAAAAACTAAATAAGAATGGTCTCAGCAAAAGAACTGGGATCCTGCCTTATAGGCCGATTATAAAACTTAGCGAACATACCTCGTACATTTAGCATTTGTGCGGCTTGCAAAAAAATCGATTGAAGGTTGTCCAAACTTTCTAACTATTATTTGAAACGCCTCATTATTTAGTTCCCACTCAGTCTCTGGAGACCTCCTAGATTCAAAGTCTGCTTCGAAATTATCTGTTGAACTTATATAAGAAGCAAATATGTAAATACCACGAGCTTCACACCATTGCCATGTTGTTCTTGCCAAAGTGTTGAGCTTGGGGTAGCGTATGCCCCCCTTTTTGTTTATATATCTATGACATAGCCGTGGTGTTATCAATTCTGAGAAGGACATTACAATATTTCTCTTCGTTTACAAAACATCTTAAAGCAAAATAGGCAGCCCTCAACTCTAAAAAAAAATATATGGTGTGATTTTTCATGATCAGTCCAGCTGCCCTAAACCTTTTGGTTCTTATGTACTGCACCCTAACCTGATAATGATGCATCAGAAAATATTTCAAAAGCAAAAGAAGATCTAGTGATGTATTCAAAGCTTGTTGGGATGTTTTGAATCCACCATTTAATATCTAATTTAACACACTCAGGTATAATCATTATAGCCTCATAATCATCTTTTTAATGCTGTAAATCTAATTTGTTCTAGGATTTTAATGTAAACCCAACCATATCTGATTGCTGGACATGCAGCTACCAGAACGCCTATTAGTCTAGAAAATTCTCTAATTGAACAGGAATACATCTCTAGGAAAGAATTGAGCAATTGTAAAATCTTTAACCTCTTTTCTTCGGTGAGAGATATAGTCATTAGTGTCGCATTAAAATTAAACCCTAAGAAATTGCAGCTAGTGGATGGATTGAGGTTACTCTTCTCCATGTTAATTATAAAACCTAATGTTGTTAAAAGAGATGAAGTCTCTTTAATATTATGTTTACAATGTTCAAAGGATTTGCCCAACAATATAAAACCATCTAGGTATACTACAGATAGCAACCCTTTAGCTCTAAGAGTGGATATCACAGGCTTCATAATTTTTGTAAAAACTAGTGGAGCAGTGCATAATCCAAATGGGAGACAACAAAATTCATATAAGATATCATTGAAAAAGAATCTTAAATACTTTCTGCTTGAGATTTTGATATTAACTAAAAAATAAGCTTCTTTTAAGTCCAAAGTTGCCATAAAACAACTTTTGGTAATTAATTTTGCTACTGTACTTTTATCTTCCAACTTAAAATGTTTTCCCATATTTTATTAATTTTTTTCTATTTGAGGCGTACACAACTTTGCATCAAAATGAAAAGTGACAGCCACGCCCGCAGAGCGCGGGAATTACATAGAGAGTTAGGTTATCAGTTCTTGGCTTTGGACTATGGTGCACAACTAGCTCATAAATGAGTACTACGTTTACTTATCATCTGAAGAAGGGAGCGCAGTGTATAATATAATAATGTATCGATTGGTAGCCGCTGTCGGCCCATGGCAGCACCTATGAATTGCAACATTGATACTGTTTATCATCATAATATTGCAATAATCTTTTGTAAACTCGCACCAGTTTATACCTCTGTATTTCTTTATATAGACTTTCAATCTCGTTTTTTAAGAAATTGAATCATTTTACATTTTAAATTACTTTTAGATTAGTTGTTCCTCATCCGCTCTATTTTTCGAGATTAGACTAAGTCGCTTAATTCTAGTTGATTCAAATTTATCAATAATACAATTGCTATACTATTAAAAAGTTTCTGAAAAATCAGAGGTATGCCATCGCAAAGTATCTGGTAAATAATGAGCTTTAAAATAATATAAACAATAGAAATTAAGGATAATTTTTGATTTTCGGGTCTTCTATCTCTTCTATCTACATACAACAACAAAAATCCAACACATACTAAAACTGGTTCAATATAGATTTACGATGAATTTTCAAGCGCTTCCTGAACATATTTTATGAAATATTTACTCAGTACAGAAATTAATTACACATTCCTAACGGGAAAATAATAAAAAAGACAACCGCAACAGCAATATCATATAACAAATATTATTTCATTACTGTCTGATATTTCATTTTACAGTGTCATTTTTTAGTAAAATTATTATTTTACAGAAGTTGTTTCTGATTCATTGATTTCAAAACGTGTTTTATGAATGATTTTAAAAAGTTATAGATACAGGGTCGTCTCGCAGATGTGCCACGTATTTGATTCAAATATTTACCTCTTCACAAAAAAAAATGTTTTTTATTATGTATATACCTGGTGCTTCAGAAAAATTCGGTTCATTTACAATATAAAGTAATTAAAATTTTGTAATTAATATGTTTTTCTTAGAATGATATTGATTTGAGCTGTTGTCATAATAACTACATGGTCACTTATACCTAATGGTGGTTCTGCCTAGGGGGGCTTATAACATATGCCCGTTATATCAACAGGTTAGTGCGCAACACATCCGCGCATATCAGTCCGTTTTACAACAATAAAATGATATTTAAATTTAAAGTACACTGAATAATTGAATAATTCAAATATATTTCGCTTAATAACAAAAGTAATACAGGGTAAGTATTGTTTTAAAATTATATATTTATATAAATACTACAATTATTTGAAAAACATGAATTGATCAATTATTTGTACAATGTAAATCTGACTTTGGGATTGTCACCCGTTCGAACCGATACAATAACAAAACTGAACAGAACAATATGGTTATGGTTGCTGAATAAAACGTGGTAAGTACTTTTATTACTTTTAATTTTAGTTTTAGTTAAACATGTTAAATTTAAAATTAAGCAAAGATATTTTGATGTTTTAACATGTGTTTAGCAGGTCCTGTTCGTAATAAATTCATAATATCTAATTGTAATAGCGTTATTTGTATAAAGGTAAATAGTACAATTTACTGTCCAATTTATGCTGTAAATTTTAAGAACACATTTTTTTTTATTTCCTTCCGATATTAAGCAAGGAACTAAATGATGCCGCATAAACTTCATCATTCCACTTGCGAAAAACCATTTATAGGTTACAAGACTGTAAATTGGCTTTAACTTTGGTACCCTTAAAAGCTAAATTAACAGTAAAGAGTAATACTAAAGTAATATTGTTATCATACCGTCAAACAAATTACCAGTGAAAAGAAAGTTACATTCGATTAAAATTTCATCCAATGAAATATAATTATTACCTAAAAAACAATAATAAGATCTTGTATTTTTAAATCAAACCAGTGAATGGTTAGCTCCAAGGAAGAAAAAACTCTATTTTATAATTAGAAAACAGCAAAGTAAAATTTGCGAATCAAAGAAGGACCTCAAAGCTTGATCCCGCAGACACCTGTTTTTTTAAAAGTACTACATCTAATTAAAAAAGATGGAGGGACTACCATTATTAATTATAAAATATTATAATTAAAGTATAAAACTGTGACAATGTCTAAAAGAAAAAAGAGATTTAAAATGATATGAAATACTACTTTGAACTTTTTCTGTTTCAGATTATATGGATGGTTCTCCTTCATGTGTTTTGTTACCTACCCAAGTTTACAGAAAGTTTTAGTTGTTTTATTAAAATATTATTTAGAAAATTTATTATAAATTAGTTTTAATGATATAATAGATAATACAATTATTTTATATTACATTATTTTACCCTTCCTAAAATTATGGGTCATAAAATTTTACATTTTGATTGGCATTTTGTTACATCTTGCATCTTGTCTGTGTTGTAAAAAATGCCAATAAAAATGCAAAATTTTATACTAATTAAAGTAGAGCTACAAACAAAATCCCGCTAATTTTTAAATTAAAAAAAATATGCAGGTATCTATATTACCGACTGAGAAATAGTTGGAGAAATCCCTCCCATTTGGCGGTGATAGCAAACATGTTGCCACATTTATACAAAGAAACGGCAACTCTTAATTATCCTTCCTCCATGGTTCTGCCTTAATAGATATGACAATTTTTTATCACTAGTTAGTATTAAGTCCAGTTGCGATTTTTAAACATTACGTATCCTCGTTGGAAAGGTAATCCACATCCTAAGCCTTGTTTTGTTTTAAAACCATTTGTGTTACTATGAATTATTGTACCTGCCACGTCTGGCTCTTCTATTTGTTTCATTATAACTTAAATATTTCTTATAACATTAAGATCACGGGTGAGATGAAGTCCATGTTCACTTGAAGCATTGGAAACATATCGAGAGCCTCTCACCTCCCCAAATCCCACGTCAGGTTCAACTCCAACCGTACGAAGTCCTTCCTGGGTAGTTATTTTTTATCTGCAACACACATAATTTGTATTTTTATCTTACTCTTCCCTCAAAATTTCTACTTCCTGATATTTAAGAATAGATGATACCCTGAACTCCTAGGAAAAGGAATCCATATTTAATCTAATATTGTCTGACGCCTTTAACTATTTTTGTCTGTTATCGATTAATTATTTTTAGAATGAGTCCGAAATAACACTATCATTAGAATCTGTCAAAAGGAGACTACGGACTTATGCAAGATGGTCACCAGTTGAAGAAGGTGTTACTTTAGCGTGGGACAACCTTTCCATATATGCAACAACAAAAAGTAAAGGAAGAATAAGTCATAAAAGGATTATTAATGGAGGTATGATATGAATAATAAATAATAAGACATTGTACATTATTAATTTATTATTGTTATATATTTTCCATTTTCAGTAACCGGAGCAGTAAAAGCAGGAAGTTTGGTAGCCATAATGGGGTCGAGGTAATCTTTAAGATACAAGCATTTAAGATTTCAATTATAAATGAGTCTTTTGTAACTCAAAATCCAAAAATCTTGATTATTGGATAATGTTTTAATACTATCCTACTAATTTATTATTTATAAGCTTTACCTTCTTGTTTAGATAAATTCTACTTTACATTACAGCGGGGCCGGTAAAAGCACATTAATGTCAGCTTTAGCACATCGAACACTAGGTACGTATTTCTACATTACATAATACGTACATAAAATAGAAATTGTAAGAAAAGTAATTTCCATATATTTAATCATGATATTCTGTAACGATGTCCCAATATTTTAACCATCCCATGGGGATTTTCTTATAAAATTTTGCAATTTGGGTCTTCTCTGTCCAGATATAAGATATAAGTCTCGTTTTTGAACGTAAACTTCTAATGTACGAAAACATTAAATAAGAGCGAAAAACGTTTTTAAATTGTGTGTAGTTAAAATCTTATAAAAAATATTCTGAAAGAAGTAAAACGAGATGTGGCTAATATTTACTCTTCAGAAATATAAATTGAAAGTAGAGACACCATCACAAAATAAGGTACGACTAGAAGCTAATGTGTACCAAAATTACAATTTATAAGTTTCACCATTATTTTCAGACTTAAATATCATCTAGACCCAAATTGCAAAATTATATAACCCACCCCCTCCCCTTAAATGGTTGGTAGAACTGTTATACTAAACACTGTATATCCACGGTGATTCAGAGCGAAATGTACATACGTTTACTTTATATGTGGGACACTAAAATTAGCAATTACCCAATGTTAATGGGTCAATCACATTTTATTACCTATGATTAAATCTCAACAAACCATTTGGTGTAAACATTTCAAATATGTCAGGAAGACTCATATCGGCACAGCTCAATTAATGCCCTAGAAATAATAAATAAAACCGAGGTCGTACGTTATTGCAGGTGCACGCCAATATAGGTATAATATACCTTTTCGGCGTCCCTGTGCTCCCCCCTAAGGGGTTTCTACAGGCTCCTCAAATGAGGCTTGGGTTTCAGGCTGCCTTCCCTTCTCCGGAGTTTGCATGGCGGCCACTACAGCGTCACGAGCTTACTGTATCAGCATTTGTATGCCCTACTTCTCCTCATTCATTTAACTCATGAATTCTAGCCATACATTCCCACCGTCTAGAGCTTTACGAGTTCGGTCATTCATCCAGACCGTGGTTTGTACAGTCTCTGCTGCGCCTATGATTGGCGTTTTAATTACCTTTCATAATCAGTCAGCGACCCGGCAAAATATTTGAAGAGTCCAAAGCAAACACGATGAAGGTCATGAAAAGTTAATTTTTTGTAAATTGAATTTAGAGCTGGAATATTAGTGTAAATGAATTTTGCCATTTTGTGCAACATTTATTGGAAAATATAACTTGAAAAACGTCTTGATTTTGTTCTTGCTCTTCTTCACGCACGTCGCACAGTGAGATTAACCTTTTGCCTGTGAGATTCATCTTTTTTGCTGTGTACACGATTTTTTGTTTCTGAAATAATTCCTTAACTATGACCTTTAATATTTTGTAAATCAGTTCAGCATTTACTATAGACCCTCAGCTATTTTATCATGTATTTAACCCATTTTTAGGAAAAAGTAGCTTTCATCGTTTTTGCTGTGAGCTCTTCTCATTTAAATTTTACTCCTACCGTTTGCAGTACTTAAAAGGCTACCTGGTTGTCTGTCATAATAAAGATTCTCTTATCTTTGAAAGGGTAGTTTGGTATGATTAGGCATTATCGCTGCTACCTCAGCGTAGAAGACAGTTACCAGTATCCTGAGATTAATTAGTAATTCCCTGTGTTTTAGTGCTGTTTTTCATATTTTTTTTTTTCTAAAATTATTTCCACAGGGCGGCTAAAACAGTAAAGCGCTTTTTTAATAAAATTTTACATATTTTAACCGGTTGCAAAAACGTTCATTAAAATTTATGAGCTTGGGAATATAATCTGTCTGAATATCACGAATCTTAAATTACTTATGAAACTTCTAAATGATAATGAATGTTCTTACAAACTGGCTATTTGTTTTACTGAAACATGTATCTTTAAAATTGTATTTGTTTAATTTCATAGGGAATATGCTAATCGAAGGAACAATTCTAATAAATGGTCGACAAATAGGAAATTACATGAAATTTCTCAGCGGCTTTATGCATCAGGAGGATATATTCGTACCATATCTCACTGTCAGAGAACACATGAATATAATGGTAAGGATATTTACCAATGGTTTGTATTCTAATTAAGTTAATTAAATGATTTATTAAATATTCTACCTTAAAATGTGAGTGACAGAACCAATAATAAAATAAGGTGGAGATTTAAACAAGTACAATAGTGTGTAAAAAATAAATTTTATTAAATTCACGCTAAGCCCTTTCGGCTTTACAAAGCCATCATCATAGGCTTGTTCGAAAGATACACCACTACAACCACCACCAATTTAACAAAATAAACGTTAAGAAAAACATTATTTATCTATTTATTTATTACAGTATCCAACATGGTTTCTCCTAATTACAGAATAACGAAAGGAATATTACAGTACCCAGCAAACATTTTGTGTAGGGGAATAAAATACCCAATAACTGTTACCATGGTAATAATAGCCATTTATGTTTTATAATTAAAAGGCCGGCATATATAGGTCACTACGGCCGACAGTCGGATCGAAGTCACTTAGCCATCAAATCCAGTTAATAGGCTTTCATTTTCACTTTAATGGGAAATTGCAGGATTTTTACCATATAAATACTGACTGCTGAATAAAGATCGTGTTCCAGGCCAGAAGTATCGTTTGAATTATAAATTCTATACAAAAACAGAAGGCATTCCAATATAGAATATTGTAGATGTAGACATTTTATTCAGCTATATAATAAAAGAGAAACAATATCTTCTGCAAAAAGATTATTAATAAAATATTCTAAATCATGTAAAAGAAATTAAAATGAATACCAAATAATATCAACAATCCGAAACTGGCCGCATACTACATTTCCACTCGTTGAGTATGTAGCAAGCAATCATCGGTGTCTCCATCTATGAACGCGGGACGGAACCCTCCTGGACTGTTGGGGTTGGGTCTGCGGCAATAAAAAGCCTTTTGACTTTTACCATGCTTTTGCCCAATACAGTTTCTTATCCTTTATAAGGCCATCATCAACCAACATAATGCTGGGCCACTATCGAATGGCCAACAGTAGGCTGTTATCTTATTATAATCGCATTTATTTTCCCTTCAATTACAACAAAAAACACAGCAATATCCCGGCAATTCATTGTTTGTTGAATAGAATTAGAATCAACAATGCGTATTCTTGATAAACATATATAAACGTAAATCAGAATAAAGGGGAACTAAGAGAGGCATAGGTGAAAAAAAAAATAATGAAAGAAAGGAGGCAACCATTTTCGTCTTTAATAACTACAGAACAAATTAATTTATCAGAAAACTACTTCTAAAGCTAGCTTCCAATGGCCCGAGATTTTAAAGGACGGGCCGTGCCGAGTTGAATAAGTCTGGACCATCTCAGGTGGCACTCTTCCCACAGAGCGCCCGTGTGAGATGGTTTAGGTCTAGCCTAAAGAGTTTTAGTCATCAATCTCTCCCTCAACTAACAAAACAATAGACATATTTTAAAAAGAGGGTGTTCGGCTTAGTTATATTATTTATCATTCTATTAGTTACTTTTATCTAAAAAAGAAATATGTCTGCAACAGTGCCAGTTTTCATAGATTCTTTAATTTTGCTTCTTAACTATCTATATGTTGACATAAAATTGTCGTTTTTCTTTATTAATTCCTTCATCGTGACGTCACCAATAATACACATCTTAGAAAACCAGTCGAAGAAGCCGGTGAAAGATTGTTACTTCGCCGAAAAGGTAGCTCAATAATTAGTGCTGGACTTTATATTTTAAACAATATTTAGTATTCCATCTGTTAAAGTTTAGGTGTAACCTAGCCATACTCAACTTGCGGACCTCGCACCTTTTTTTGCCTCCCAAAACACTATACAAGGTGTTATTTAAAACTATAGGTTTCTGTTTATAAAATCTTGAGCGAAATGCACGAAAACATTCATCGGCCACTGCGATAAATATCACGCTAATTTTTAAATAAACGTTTGGATTTCCGTGGGGATACTGCAAAAACTTGATGACACTACTTTTGGCCTTTTTAGAGTTAAGTAAATAAACAAGACAGATGGAACAAAGTCTATATTCACCATAAACAGATGACTAATAAAAACTAACTCCCTATTAATACATTCACAATATATACGAACAAGATGAGTGACATTTATACCGAAACATAATCAACATTGAGTTTAATTGTTCAATTGTTACCAAAACCATATAAAAGAGAAATATAACTTATTTTGGCTAAATGTATTTAGTCCAATTTCTAATAGTGTTTCTGCTAAAACAAGAAAGACCAGAACACTTATTGTTGTTAAATGTATTTGTTGAAATACTTCAACATTATGCCCAAGCCATTTGTTTTGTTTTGCCTAGAGCCGTCTCTGGCCTTTCTCGATTGTTCCGAAATCGACAAGGTGATTACGTCACCTTTTCTTTCCGCGATACAGCTAATCTTTAAAAACTAATAGAGGGATGACTGAAAGGGTGAAAAAAATAACTCTGAAAAAATAAAGATTTACTTAAACTTTGCAAATCAGGTGCTAACCTTGATGAAGTTCACCATTAATAACACAATCTACCTGTATCCAATAATGTTAAAGACATGGTACTTGAATCTCCCACTGAAGATAGTAACACATACATTGAATATTATGACCTGTATGTAGACTGCTAAAATAAGCTAAGTGACGTTATTTTTTTTTCTTTATGTTACTAATCTATGGATTCTTAGTTTATACTTTGTGAAGACTAATTATGTTTTGAATACCTGTTTTCATTGGAGTTATTGTTTATTAAACAGTTTGAAGCTTCAACTGATTTTGTATTTAAACAGCATGTTCTCGTAACTCTAAAAAATGTGAGTTATTTTGTTTTTGCAGTAACCCGACGGGGAATATTTATATTTTGTGTTTTATTTATTAGAGGTCCCCACTAACTAATTTTAAATGAATGGCATAAAAAAGGTCATCATCCAAAAATATTGCGTCCCGTGTAATATTGCAAACATACGAATGTGACCCGAAGGAAAAAAGGTTGAGTATGGCTGGTATAAGCCATTGTTGTTGATTATAAATGAATTTATCGATAATCATCAACAACGTGTCCTGGTAAAAAACAACGAAATAGAACATTATTGTTATGTACTTAGGTTTGGCATAAATAATCACGATTTAAACTGGTATACAACTTTTATTGTCACTGGGTTTCTTTTAAACATTTAACATTTACTATTCACAAAATGGTTGCCATCAAACGGCCTCGTGTCTACACACGCTCGATTTACCTTCATAACTGCCACCCTGTGTAGAGTGCGCATCGAAGATCGGCTCTTGTCGGGTTGTTCCGTTTACTACTTTAGGCGGTATATTTAAATTACCTGAGACGCAATACATTACAATTATATTATTGTATTCAATTTTTATTGTGGTGGTATCTATCGGACGATGGATATGATGATGGCTTTGTGAAATTAAAAGTTCTCTACCTGAATTTATTCAAATTTTTTAATTGCCTTATTCTTCACCTCATTTTTAGTGTGTATACTACTAGAATCTTTTTATTTAATAAAGAAATAGTTACTTTTAAATTAAATGTTTGTTTAATTTTTCAATATACAGTTGTTGATTTTAGGCTAACTTAAAACTTGACAGAAGAACTTCGGCAAAAGACAAAAGGCAACTAATCAATAACGTTTTGGGACAACTAGGTTTAATAAAATGCATTGATAGTAGAATAGGAGGGATAGACCAAGATAAAGCATTATCTGGAGGAGAGAAAAAACGTTTAGCATTTGCCACTGAGGTATGATGATAAAAAGTATTTTTTTTTAATCTAAAACCAATATTTTGGTACAGTTACTTACAGATCCGCCCATTTTATTCTGTGACGAGCCCACCACTGGACTGGACTCGTATTCTGCTCAAAAATTGGTGACAATGATGAATCGAATGGCAGCGGCAGGAAAAACAATTTTGTGCACAATTCATCAACCATCTTCAGATATATTCGCGATGTTCAGTCAACTCATTTTGGTGGCTGACGGCAGAATTGCATTTATGGGTTCTAATTACAGCGCTCTAGAATTCTTTGAAAGGTAGATTATTTTTGTTGTATATTTTTTACGTATTTCATGCTCATTAAAAAAATATAAGAAAATTGAAATTTCAGAGCAATTTGAATTCATCAAAAAAATTAAAATGCACAGTTGTGGTTAATTACGGTTCGAGACATTATATAAAAATAAACAATAAATGAAAATAATTTTGTTGCCTAACAAATTAATTCATTTACAGGACAAAATACGTGAGATAAATGTCAATCATGATATTTTGACAAAAATAATTTAAACAAACTAACTGAACGGGGGCATGGGCCAATGAAAGTTGGCGTACGTCCGAACAAACTGCTCGCGTATTTGCATACCACAACGGCAGGCGTTACATAAATAAGTTCAAGGTATTGCGTATGGGGTATGCCATCTTTTGAAGGAGATGTTAAGCTGTCGGTCCCGAGTCAATGAATGGGCTAAATTTCTGGTAATTGATGGTAGCGTGCTCACCAGAGTCGGTATTTAAACCTAGTAATTAGAAATGGCCGGAGTTAAATAAATTAATAAAAAAATAAACAAACTAACAATTTATTTCCAAGTTTTCTCGAAAACTTGCCTTAAAAAATTCTTTTGGTTTAACAAGTTCGGTTTATTGGTTTATAAAGAAATACCACACTAAGAAACTACCCTTCCATTTTCCAATGATGGTATACTAAACCTAGAAAGCAGTAGAGATTATTTAATACTTCGAATGGAATTCTACCCATCTTTTTTAAAAGAATGGTACTTGAGAAATCGCCCCTGAACATTTTCCAAATATCTTCTGTGAATATTGTAAATAGGGTTTCAGATAACAGATGCCTAATACATATTTTAACTTGTAACTAACTAAAGAAAAGTAAAGGATCTCCAAGCTTTAAGAATTTGTAAAATAACAAGTCTTATGAATTAAAAACCATCAGCTTTTCAACGCAGAAGCAACGGCATTATGAATATGATCAGTATTAGTAACTTTTTGATCAAATAATATACCTAAATCTTTAATTTTATTTAAATTTTCGAAGAGGAGTAGATAACATCACATCCAGATGGATGGCTTAGCTGTTATCTACGAGAATTGCAGAGACACAGGATGTCTACAAGGAGAAGTTCTATCCTCACTAATGTGGAGCCTAACCGTAGACGAACTTCTATGCAGATTGACTGACCTCGGCATACCCTGTCAAGGTTATATTTGCTAATGGCAAGTTTATTAATATCCTGTGTGATATAGTCCAACGAGGACTAGAACATACCAAAAGATGGTGCCGTGAAGTGGGACTTAGTATAAACCCTACAAAAACAACACTAGTAGCCTTTTCAAGGAAAAGAAAACTTAATCTCGAAACCGTTAAATTAGGGATAGATATAGAATGGAAAAATGAAGTCAAATATCTAGGCCTAATCCTGAACAGCAAACTTCTCTAGAACATACATGAGAAGGAAGTAGTAAATAAGGCCACAAAAGCCCTAATGGTATGCAGAAACATTGCAAGTAAACGATGGGGATGTAACCAAAACATACTGCGATGGATGTATACTGCAATAGTGAGACCAATCGTCACTTACGGGGCTATAGCCTGGACTAACAGCATTAGTTTAGCTACTACGAGAGCTAATATCTCAAAAGTACAAAGACTAGCCTGTGTTTGCATTGGAGGTGAAAAAATGGAGCCAAGAATCCATCGCGCTTGCAACCGAAAGACGTGCTATTAAGTGGTATACGGACGGTTCCAAAACCATAGAAGGGACTGGAATAGGAGTATATGGGCCGAGAACCAAGCACTCCAAAAGCTTGGGAAAATACCCAAGCATCTTCCAGGCGGAAATTCACGCCATCGAGAAGTGTATCCAGTTTAACATCGAGAGAAACTATCATAGACAAGAGATTATCATCATGTCCGAGCTCAGCCATTAAAGCGCTGAGCTCTTATGTAATCAGCTCAAAAATGGTCTGGAGATGCCTAGAACAATTGAATCAGCTAGGCGAGAAAAATAGAGTTACTCTCACTTGGATCCCGGGACATAACGGGGTACAGCGTAACGAGATTGCAGATAGCCTTACAAGGAAAGGGGCTCAAACACCCTTTGTAGGACCTGAGCCGTTCTGCGGTATCAGCAGTAACATAATATTAAGAGAGATTAAAAAAGAATTGGGCAGTAGAAGAACCGATAATTGGAATAATCTCTTGGGACTGAGACAGGCCAAGATACTTTTGAGTGAATATAACCAGAAAAGATCGGAAGCCTGCATCCGCCTGAGCAAGAACAGGCTACGTATTGTAACAGGGATCGTTACCGGACATTGCCGACTAAAATGACACCTAAGTAAACTGAGAGTAGTAGAGGATAGTGAGTGCAGATTCTGTGAGCAGAAGGACGAAACCTCCATTCACATCCTAACTGAATGTGTAGCACTCCAGAATCCAAGGGCACTATATCTAGGAGGATATCAAATAGAAGAGGGAGATTTACCTAACTTGAAGCCACTTCAAAACCTACACTTCCTTGAGAAAATAGGATTGGAAGGGTCATTATAGGCATTGAGACATTTTCTTAGTGCATTTCGCGACAGAAGGGGGCACAATAGATCTTTTAGGTCGCAGTGTGTTAACACCCCATTCCCAACATAACATAACATAAAATTTTCGAAAGGGTGCTCATTAATCAGAAGGGATGAAAAAGGGTGATAACATTTTCATACCATAAATTGTCAAATTGAAAATTTAAATCGACCTGTTTCAATTTTTTTCTCAAAAGTAATGAATTTATTTTATACATAATATGGACCACATTGGTAGAATAGTAGAATACAACTACTGTGAAAGGTAACTTGTTTGTGATAAATGAAGGTATTATGTCACTTAACAAAATATTGATAATGTTGTGCTATAATAATGAAATTATCAGTTCTAATAAAAATACGTGGCATGGATATCAAAAGTGTTTTCCACTCAATTTTTTTGTTTTTATTGTTTAAATATGATACCCTTTTACATTTTTATAGCTTTCCCTGGAGTTCATTTCAACTTTAATTATCTAGAAACATCTTCATTTTTAGTATCAGTCCAAGACATTTAATATGCATTTTATCACTGTTAGATCCAAGATTTAATTATGTAATTTTTATAGTAAGATCATAAAACCAATAATACTTCAATAAAAATACGCCAGCTAGGACACAAGTTACGTTTCTATATGTTTAACGAGGAATACAGCATGTATCCTTTAATAAAGGAGAGTCAAATGTCACTTTAATTCCCTAGGAGCAAAAATCTTGGAATATTTTTTAATTATTTGATTATACTAACCGAATTTTACGTTTATACGTCAATATTTTCTAATGCATCGTCTCGGTAGCACACCATGTGGATTTTCATTTAATTTGCGTGATTGGTTATAGAATTTGATGGATGCCGTATTAGCAGTAATTTAATTCTGTTGATATGACATCCAGATTACAAATCGTCATGCTTTGCCGTTCCAATGATGGTAGATGATATTTTCCGGGTTTTCCTCACCTGTAAGTCAAATGGCGCCAGCCATCATCTTTAAGTCTCCTCGGAGAGCCACGGCAAACAATAATAATAGCCGTCCCTGCCCCCATACAAGCTTAGTCGGCTTCAGGGGTTGAATTAGGGAGAGTATTATTGTATATTATTATTATTTATATAGTATATTACATTACGAGTGTGGAAAATCACTTTTCACACAAGTGATGTACAATATTTTTCCTACGACCACAAAATAATTTCATCAAAAAATGTAAAACCAGATTATTATAATAATTAAAATGTATTTAAAAAAATAATCAACAATAATCGTATTTATTAAATTTTCATAATTTCTAAACAAATAAAAAAAATAAAAAAAAAATAAAAAAAAAATTCTGGCACAGCCAGGATTCGATCGCGGTCGTTGGACGGTCTCAAATTGCAAAGTTGATGCTCTAACCAACTGAGCTAACAGGCCTTACGGTAATTAATTGATCTAATCGCTTATGTGTTTAACCAGAATAAAAAGCAAATATATCTTAGTTATTTTAAAATTATTTTAAAAATAATTGTTAAAGATAAATATCTAGGATCTAATTTACAATAATTTAACAATCATATCGATTTTAGTATTAATATGGACATTACATAGATCAAAATAGAAATTATGTGTTTGACATTTTCTGACAGCTACTGCGGAAAGTAGCATATTCTCACTTGGGTGGAAAGTAAATTCTTATTCATACGCGTGTGATATAGGGCACTTTCCATAGGTCTATATAGTGTGATATGTGTCACTTTCCTAAGTGGTCGTAGGAAAAATTTATTTTGCTATTGTAGATGGTATAAAAAACTAGCTTATTTTGTCACAGAATAGAATGGCCTTTAATCATTTATTTATGAAACTAAATTCACCTTAGAAACAAAAGGGCTATGCTAATTGGTTTACCTACTACACACAGTCATTCAAGGTTTAAAAGTTGCTCTTTATAATTAATTTGTACCTATTCTCTAATATTTTAGAACAATAATTTAAATAGTTCTTTTATTTTAAAATTTGATAATTTGTAGAATGGGATACGTATGTCCTAGTTCATATAGCCCAGCTGACTTTTATATAAAAACGTTAGCAATGACTCCTGGATACGAGGATAATAGCAGGCAAACAATAAAACGAATTTGTGACCAATTTGCTGTTAGTGACTATGCTAAAGAAGTCGAAATCGTTGTACAATATGAGCTTCATATGGGAAAAGCAGTAGTGGTAAGTAGTTTTAAACAATTATTATCATTTAGCGTACTGATACGGCAATGATGAGTCAGGGCCGTAGCCAGAACCAATTTTTAAGTAGGGCATCCGAAATTTGAAATAGGGAAACCGTTATGGGCAAGTTGAGGGTGTTGAGATTTGTAGTTAGCAAACTAACACAATAAGAGAGAGTCCAATTGATCCTGTAACAAGGAAAGAAAATAAATATTTCTTAACTGTATTAGACGATTATACACATTTCTGTAAAATATATCTACGAGTATTACAAAGGAAAAATGAGTACAAGAATACTTAAAAGAATTTGTGAAAGAATCTGAAGCCATTGAAAAAAATCAAAGAGAAAACCTCCAACAAAAAAATGTCAGTTTTGTCCTATAAGTGACTCTGAGGTGGAAGAATGCAAAATGCGTTTAAATATTCTATTCACAATGAGCAGAGTGGATAAGAGGTTTTGGGATAGTTATAAAAAGGCAAAGAAAGAGTATAACAAGAAACGAATATATGACTCAGACAATAAAGCTAAAACAACATGGCAAATAGTGAGTAATATAAATGGCAAAAATAACCAATATACTATATAAATAGTATGCGAGGCGTCAACAGTAGCAAACAATTTTATGACTTTTCTTGAAAAGTCAATAACATATGTAATCTCTGGCCTAAGTAATAGTAATTATGTAAGTACAATATCTAGTAACTTAAAGTCTATGTAATTCCAGTAACTGCAATGGAAATTATTGTAGAGATTGGGAAGAAATCAAAAATAAGATGAGTAGTGGTATAGATGAGGTGCAAACAAAAATTATTAAAAAATGTATTAAGCAAATTGTGAATCCACTAGTATATATAATAAATAACTCTCTTCAGTTTGAGGTGTTTCCTGATCAATTAAAAATAGCCTGTTTTCAAAAAAGGTGACGTAAGGAAGGTGGAGAACTACAGACTACAAAAGGGTGGTATCAGAATTTGTTTTACGACCTGTAACTTATTAAGTAAAAATCAACATGGTTACCAGCATGGGAAATCTACTCAAACGGAAATTTTCTAGTTTGTTCAGCATGTTCTAGAGGATGGCAGGCTAGGTATTGGCCTATTCTTGGACTTGTCAAAAGCCTACTATTGTCTAGACCATGGGATAATGCTGGACAAGCTGAAGAAATATTGAATTAGGAGGCCTGCATTAGGGTGGCTCAAATCATATCTTAAGGATAGGGAACATGTTGTCAAAATATATAAAAAATAATGAGGAAGGTAGATCAGTAGAAATAATATCTAATATAGAAATAACCTCAGGGAAGTATAGTAGGTCCGTTGATTTTTATTATTTATGCAGAAGACACGAATATCTTAATAAATGCATCTATGTTTGAATTAACCCTAAATGCAGAGAGAGAGAGATAACTAAAGCTAAAAAATGGTTTGAAATAAATAAATTAACACTCAATGAGAGCAAAACAAATGTGGTACTTTTTAAAACCAATTACACCATATATGAAATGCCAATAAATATTGAACTAAACAACTGTATATTTAAGGTCTCAATTAGTACCAAGTTTCTGGGGCTATATATTGATAGTTTTCAGTGCTGGGAAAGCCATATTGAGTTTGTATGTACAAAATTGAGCCAGATTTGTTACAGCATCAGAGTTGTGAAGAAATATTTGGAATGGGATAGTTTAAAAATTGTATACTTTGCAAATTTTGAATCCGGAATTAGATATGGGATAATCTTCTATGGTGGGAGCAATTCAATTGAAAGGGTTTTTTTAGTGCAAAAAAGAATAATGCGGATTATGCTCAGTTTGAATATAAGAGAGTCGTGTAGAGGTAAATTTAGAGAAAATAAAATCTTAACTGTGATAGGCCTATACATCCAGAAATGCTTAATTGTTTTATTTAAAAATATAGGTTTATTTTCAAATTTTGAGCCAACGAATGCTTATATATTAAGAAATATAAACCTAGTATATCCAATACATAGGATGACAGCTACAGAACATGGAGCAGGGTACAGCTGTGAAAAGTTGTACAATAATCTGCCTGATACAATAAAAAGATTAACAAATGTTAAGAATTTAAAAGGGAAGTACCTACAGAATTCTCAATTAATTTAGAACCATATACAATTAATGAATATTACTCTATGTGATCTTTATTTTGAAAGACAATTCTTAAACAAAACAATTATTATTATTATTAATGGTGGAGAATTTTAAAGACTTTAAAATCTGGTGTAGATATAGAAGAATTATAATAGATTACACAATTGCACATTCACTTCAACTCAACTGAAAAGCAGAACGACTAAATTGTATTCTTCTTGACAAAGCCAGAGCAATTATTATGAAGTAGAAAAGTAGTTATGGGGAGAAGCCGTATGTGTAGCATCATACCTATCTAATAGAAGCCCTTCAGAAACCACAAAAGTCACTCCAATTTGAAAACTGAACAGGAAAAAACTAAATTTAGAAAATTTACAAAAATTTGGTTCCTGTGCATATGCTAAAGTATTAGGTAATATTAAGGAACTTAATGTAAGAAGTAAAAATACCAATTTATTAGTTATGTATTTAGTACATAACTAATAAATTGGTACCGACTATGGGACAAAGAAAACATAAATTAAAACATTTAGGGATGTTGTTTTTAAATGCCCTGAAAATAAAAACACTGCATCCAAAACTATACTAAATATGTTTAAAAGTGAGGAAACTAAAGAATATCAGGATAAAGAAAAAGAAAACGACGACGAGGTATCGGATAAACTGATAAAAACTTCTCATTAGGAGAAGGTAACGATACCGCAGAAGAAAACGAGATATAGACGTAGAATTAATAAACCAAAAAGATTATCTATGATTAAAAAATGATGAAATTGCACTGTTAACATATGAAGAAGTTATTACGAGTTCAGATAATGATAAGTGGATGAAAGCAATAGAAGATGAAAAAGACTCATTAGTAAGAAATTAAACTTGGGATTATGAAGACATTGAAGAGTCCAATGAAAGAAAAATTTTGACTAGAAAGTGAGTTTTTAGAATCAAGGAGGGTGGAAAGTTCAAACAAAGCTAGGCCAGTTTTAAATTATAGGCGTTATGCCATCTCGATGACTATGCCTTTACTCTTCAAAGTTAAATCGTTATTCCAAAACTGATTCTTAGACTTTAGTATAAGGATCTTAAACTTATTATTATCTCTATATTTAAACTAAAACACGGGACTAAACTGCATGTTTTTGTTTATAGCCAAACAAATTTGAACTTCGACAGGATTTGTAAGTATTTAACGTCTTATACTTTTCAAAATAATTTTAAAAACGAAATATATATTTGGATATTGTTTATTATTTTTTTTTTTTTTAGTCAACCAATTAGGTGGCCAGTCAAAATTTTCTGGTTAACACAACGATGGTTTTTGGAGCTACTGAGAAATCCTTCATTAGAAATAATGAAACTCTTTCAAAGGCTTGTAAGAAATATTATTAACCACTTTTTCCTTTTGGAAATGTAGGTATTTTTGTTTTAGTTTATCGGACTTATCGTTGGATTTTGTTATTTAGGAACTGATGCTTTAACCCAAAATGGAGTACAATCTATTGAAGGAGTTATTTTCATGTTTGTGAGTGAGAATACTTTCAATCCAATGTATAGTGTATTGGCCCATTTTCCCAGCTACTTACCACTTTTTTTGAGAGAATACAAATCAGGGTTGTATCATCCATTTACTTACTATTTGTCCAGAATACTATCTTTGGTAAGTATGTACCTATAAGAAATAAAACTTTTTAGTTATCTTTGCCTTTTCAACTATTTCAGTTACTGCTAAATAAGCTATACGTAGACTGTTCTAAATTGGTGCTGCATATAATAATATAATGTAGATTCTATTATTATAAGAGCCAGAAAATCAGTTAAATGGCGTGGGCTTACAAGCAATAAAGGCATTAAGTCAAAAAATAGATTTATGAGATAAATAATTTAAAGTTTCAATAAAGTTCTAATTGTTTCATAAATTATTTAGGGATTATCAACTGCTTCAAAGAAAATGTACATGCTTTTGGAATACAATGTACCGTTTTTATATGATATATAAAAATAAAAACCCATTCTGACAAATTTATTGACTTAGTGCCTTTTGCTTGTAAGCCCACGATGGGTAATGTTTTTATGATGTTATTGCGGTTTCAAAACTGCTTTTACAATTTTATCAAGCTCTGTAAGGAGGCGAAAAACGACATTTTTTGACACATTTAAATGAACAGGTATCTTTTGTGATTCCTTCAATAATGTTACGAATTAATTCTCATATCTTACTAGTCATAATCTGGCACGCCTCTTAGTTAAAAAAGTTATATTTTTATAAAGGGTGGTTGTTCGATAAGACGTCAGTGATTCAGGACATCTAATTTTTTATTAAACCAAGACCTTATATAAAGCACTCCTTATTTCCATTAGTCGCAATTCGTCATACGGCAAATTTTTAAACATATATGTATCTAATACAAATTTTACAAACATCACCCTTTAATCAAAAATCGAATCATAAATATTACTTTACTATGAATTTACACACATAATAAATGAATGTAATAATAACTGTATTTAAAAAAAATATTAATAATTTTAGTTAGGATTTTTTTTATATTTCAACCTCTCTTAATCTCCCTATTTTCATTCAATTGTTTTTATAAATATATACATTTTTCGTTTTTGACTGCGGGCAAAAAACATGACATGGGTCGAACATTTTAAAAAGTTATGTAACATTTGATGAAGAAGGTTTTGGTACAAAAATTTTGATCAATAAAAATTTTGGTTTCTCGAAAGTAAATCTATAATACTCTTCACAGACTACTAAGCAGGGCCGTATCCAGAGAGGAGCGCATAGGGGCAAAGCCCTACCTTAAAAATAGGCAGTCACAGACATCACAATATTTTTTTTAACTTATTTATCTATGTACATTCAAATCCGTATCTGCGCGTCCTTTTTTGCTTTGTAATATTTTACTTTTCATGAATTGTGTAACTGACAACTAGGTATTACGTAAATTAAGGTAGTCGATAGGAAACGAGAAGACAATGCCCTCTAAATCTAACAATTGTATCTGTATTTCAATATAAATAACATTGTCAAATTAACATTAACATTGTGAGTTTAACATCAATTTACATTGTGAGAATAACATTGTGAAATTTACATACATATAACTTTGTAAGAATTAAAAAAAGTGTTATTTTTTCTTGATCAATCAATCTTGCTCACATATATTAAGGTAGTATGGATATAAGAGCTGTCTTCTAAAAAAATTCTCGTTTTAATCAGGAAGTTGAACAAGCACAAATTTATTCTACAATAGAGTTAAATACATAAAAGCTAGAAGTTAAACCTTCTACAAGTTGTGAAATTCCTGACAATATAACTCAAATTGTAAAAAAAAGGGATTGGATCGTTGGTCTACCGGTCAAAAGACCGGTATGCCCTCGTTCATGCAGTGGGCCCTCGTGAATTAAATGCAAGAAACCCCGAATGGCAGATCTGATGTGTCTTACATTTGAAAGAAAAATAACGCACAAAACAGATGAAGTGTTATGAAAATTCCACAATGTGGCAAAAACGGAAGGCTTCAACTACTTATGGATACAAAATTCCTTATTTTATGAAACGAGTGAATATTTTCGATTTCAAAAATGTCACTTTATATGTCAAAATTAGGAAAATGTTTTCATTATGTTTGTTTTTTTTTTATTTTATCGATTTTTAATTTTTATAAAGGTACTTGACAACCTGTGTTAGTCCATTTATTTAAGAAATTGATAGCATTAATCAGAAAGGCACCAACCAACACAATGTTAGAACTGAGAAAAATGAGGTTAAAGTTGAACTGTATCTTTAAATCAGAGTAATTTTAAAAAGCATTTTTTTTATTTATCAATTTACGTTATTTTTTCCTACGATTTTAGAAATAAAAATCAGTGTTTTTTTGTTATTATACTTTTTTGGTATTTTTTGTGGGTTGGTTCCTTTCTGATATTTAAAAAAAAAATTAAAAAAACATTAAAGAACCATTATGCATGATTCCTTTCTCTGAAATGTGATCAATCAGGATGGAACCAATCAACACGATGTTAAATCTGAGAAATATGAGGTTTAAGTTAAATTGGTTGCTAAATCAGAATAACTTAAATACTACAGATTTTAATTTATCAAAAATGTAAAACATTTTTCTACGATTTTTAAAATAAAAATAATTACAGTATTTTTTTGTTTTTACGCTTCTTTAACCATTTTTGTAGGTTGGTTCCTTTTCGTTTTTTTGAGAAACAGTGTAAAAAATGTGAGAAAATCATTATGCAATTGGTTCCCTTCTCTGAATTAAAATAATAGGTATTATGGAGATTTATAAAAACAACCAGTCAATATGCATCATATAATATATTGGTTAAAAAAAAATAAAACAACAGAAATAAAAATAAGGCCCATTTATTATTATATTGATCGAAACTTACTTTTCTATAAACAACAATTTTTTCTAATTGTTGTGTCCCAAAAAATCTGCAGCTTTCATTTCATTAAGAATAGCACTTTTCATTACTTGGATGTAGTCGTTTGGTAAGTAAAGTCTTTGTACATGTTGTAATGCTCCTTCAATATCGCTAAAGTCCGTGTCATTGGGCAAGAAACTATGTCCAGATATGTACCAGATACTTCATTTGTATTGTTTGGAGGGTGGGATAAGCTTCAAGGCAAGTCTTTACTATTAAAACCAATTTTATATTTCTGTTGTGTCCTCCACAAGAATCACTCGACAAAACTAATGTTCAATATGTTTTATTAGACAGGAACCTAACTCTTGAGCCCCTCTACCTGCTTGGTTTTCGGTCCAAACATAGCAATAACCTTGACTTTTTTTGAACGAATGAACGCCGGCGTTGTATAGCCACAAATGTTTTTTATGAAAGATTATGCTAGTAGGTATTTAGGGAAGAGGTAGTGTTTTTTCTAGGTCGAATGTTATGCATTCGAATTTTTTATTCTTTTTTGCTTCTAGTCCATCTTCACGCATCATTTTTCTAGCTTCTTCCCACAAACCTGTATGCTTGTTGTGTTCTTCTTTTAAAGTGTGTTTTTCTTCACCTATTGCGCACTGCAGTCGTACCGCAAAAGAATCACATGTATTAACAACACTTTTCGTCAAATTTTTTCCATTACGGTCCATTTTAGAGAAATTATGTATGAGACAGAATTATAGAGATTACATAACCAACAACTCTTATTGAAACTGAAAGAATTTTCTTTTATAATCATAAATAAGATAATACCTTAAAGTAGAAAAACGACCCCTTATATAGGTAATCCTCCACAGAGCTCAGACTGTGTCTATTTATAATCGCAGGATTGATTAAAAATAAGTCAACAATTTGATATTATCATGGATACATAGGACACACAGAGAGACATCATTGCGAAAATGGTCTAAACGAATTCTAAACGTAAAGAAAAAAATCATTTTCGACCCTCTCTCCACCTATGTTTTTGAATATCCCATACCCTCGACGTATCCTATTTCAAATTGATTTTGACTACGGCCCTGTTACGGTATGAAGAAGACTATATTATTGTAACAAAATGAAAATAATATGCCTTTTAATATATCACGTTTAGATACTGTTAAACATCGGCCTCCGTGGCGCAATTGGCTAGCGCGTTCGGCTGTTAACCGAAAGGTTGGTGGTTCGAGCCCACCCGGGGGCGACTTTTTTTTATTTTTTATATTTTTCTAAAAAGTTATAAAAATCCATGGTATAAAAAAAATATAAATCTATATGGTCTACGTGGAAGGTTTATGTTAATCTGTTTTTTTTTTTAATATAGTTGTTTTTAAATGCAAACAATTATTGCAAATCCACAGATCACAATCAACAGTTAGTTGTAGATTAGTATTTGTTAGTGTTTTCTATTATTATAGGTATTCTTTTTTTACTATTTGTTTTCACTTTTTTATTACTTTTCTGTTTTTTTATAATTTTTTTTATTTTTGTTTTAATTTTAAAATGGACATAGGGTTTGTTTTTACAATTTTTGCTTATTCCCATATTTACTTAGTAGGTAGGTAAAGTATGATTATAAGGAACCAAAATGCTTATTCTGTGCAAGTATCTTGGAAATTATATGATAAATGACGTCAAATTAAGGTGAATACAGAGAAGATTGTAGAGGGTGGTGCAAAATGAACGTTATGGTTTAAATGCTTTATAACTTTTTTATTTTTGAATAAATTGTGAACATTATTTTGTCAAAATACAGCAGATGAATGGAGAATATTATTAATTTAAAAGTGAAAAATTACGTCTCGCAGGTGTTGCCCATTTTCCGCTTTACAAAGTTGTGCTCTTTCCAACAACATGTTGCATGACTCTTTGCAAAACTTCAGGGGTTATGACACAGATTTCATTGCGAATATTGTTTTTAAGTTCAAAAAAAAAGTCTGGAGCGGTCAAATCTGGCGAACGCGATGGCCAATTTAAATCGTTCCTACGCGAAATATGTTCGCCGAAGATCTCCCGTAATAGAACCATTGTATCCCTTGCAGTATGAGCCGTAGCGCTATCTTGATGAAACCACATTTAATTTTGAGGGTGATTTGCTACAGATGACTATAAAAAAATTTTTATCGGCGATATGCTCGCTGCATCAGAATAACTGAATTTCCGTTAGAAAAAAAATCAATATTTGTTCGCTGTTCCATTTCAAATTCCCTATGCCTTCTTCACAAAACTTTGAAACAAAAGAAAAAATGCAATATTAAATAAAAAAAGTTATAAAGCTTGTAAACAGTAACATTCATTTTGCACCACCCTGTAGATATGTATCGAGATAAAATGTTAAAGCCCGGTACTAGGTCAATATGTTAAATATTTGATAAGGCAATTTAATTTATCACATTGTTAAATTAATTATCTAATTAATATAAAACAAGTAAAACAATAATTAACTTTGATAATGATGTGTAAATCAATATTTGATTTAATTTTTTTAACCCACTTTAAAAATGGAGCAGGTTCTTAATTTGTCGGAATATTTTTTTATGTATGTTTAGCGATAATTCTTTACTACGTTGTCCGATTTTTATGATTCTTTTTTTGTTAGAAAGAGGGAACCTCAGGGGTGGTCCCATATAAATTTGGTCAAGATCTAATAATGGAGTTCATGAGAAATTCATCAATTTCTTCATTTTTTTATGTACTTTTTAGCGATAATTCTTTACCACATGGCCTGATTTCCATGATTCTTTTTTTGTTGGAAAGGGGGATACCTCAGGGGTCATTACAAATACAATTGGTCAGGGTCTGCGAAAATCAAAAACCTCAATTTTTAAGAACATCTCTTCGATTTTGAAGTCTGTTTTTAAAAATTACTTTTATAACTTGTTCCTGATTATATTAGAAAGAAATACCTAATTTGACGGATCGTGTCGAGGTTTAAATAAGACATGTCAATAGTAAATCTTTTTAATAGGATTTTGCTGAGTTTTGGCTTAGGTTTAGGTATTAAATTAACTGTACGAACATTAATCGTACATACAAAGCGTCTCCCAAGGAATGTTCTTTTATGGTTATTAATGTTAAAAAATATGCTTTACACCTGATATTCATATTCCATTAATTGCGTACATGAAATAGACTTACTCTGCACATCATTTGTATCCTAATAATGTTCTACTTATATGCGAATAATGTATTTTAAAAAAGATATTAAATTAATGATATTTATTTGATATACTTCGCCATTAAGCCTATATTTACAAAAGTTTTAGTTTTAATAATTCAATAATTGTTAGGTATTCATCAGTGTGGTTTTTACCCAAATTCTGTTACAATTTACAATATATAAACTTTATGAACATTTCGTGAAATTCAAGAGTTATGATTTCTTTTTTATTTAAAAGTTATCTTCAGTAAGTAAAATTAATAGAAAAAGAATATAAAACACTATTAATATATATTTTTTAATGACTATAAGATTCATTTAACATTAGGTACCTACTGTGCTAGACAAAACCGAGGATATGAAAGGCATGTACAAAGAATATGTTACGAAAGCATATCTTTTGTATCATTTTCATAGAATGTACTTAACATTAAACAAAGTGTGCGGTCAAACGGAGTTTCAAAGGATTTGAATAGCATTTCAATTTAGGTCTGTTTATTCATTGACACCAGGATTCTGCGCAGTATCTAATTTAATAATCTACTATGCGGAATCCTGATTTCTGATCGTTGTTAGAGCAGACCTATTAATGTTAACTGCTCATTTTAATTATTTAAAAAAATCAATGTGCAGAAAACATTTTGTGGATCACTCCTAATAATATCTATTTTCTGCACAAACTATATAAAGGATATGTAGGCATATTAGTTATCCATCCTGAAAAGGAGGATAACTTCTGTAGCAGGGAAATAGGAAAATTAAATGTCTTAGAAAAATGTAAAACACTTATGAAAAGGTCAATAATAAACAATAAAAAAAAATAATAAATCAAATATTACTCTACTGAGTGGATATAATTTCTTATTCATTCTATCCTTCTTTTCTGTTTTTCTTTTTAATTTAATTTTAATTTCATTTTAATTTTATAAATTAGTCAAATTCTCGGTGAAAGTGAAATTTAAATCTGTGTTATTTTAAAACAATTATTTTTATCTTAATAAGTGATTTTTTATAATTTTGAAGATTTGCTTTAGTTGATTTGTCGAAAAAATATACTGTGCAACTCAAGTGGATTGTCCGTATTGTACACTCAGACTCAACTTATGTAGAAATGTATAGTAGTAAGTAGTAACTGTATGAAATTTATACTTTTAACATTTTATGAAGGTCCAACTATTTCAGCATTTAAAGAGAGAAGTAAAATATTAACATTTTGCAAGCACATTGGGTATATTGCATTTATAACCTCTCTTCCGGTGTCTTAAGAACTACAATAATGCTCTTGGTACATAAATAATTAGCTCTTGATTGTACAAAGATACATAACTAAGTACCTAATTATATTATATTTTGTAATTTTTAATTTTATTGCTTTTCCAGCTTCCAGGTTTTATATTGGAACCTGTTGTGTTTGTTCTCTCTGCATATTGGATATCAGGATTGCGTCCAACTGGATATATTTTTGCCGTGACTTCGTTTGTTATCATTCTTACAATGAATGTATCATCTGCTTGTGGTAAATATATTTATTTGGCTATGGTATATTTATTTATAATTTTGTACGTAGATTTAATTTACATTTAATCTCTATTGCTTAATTTTATATCGTTCGAATACTGACAACTTTTGCTCAGAAGTTTAGTTGTAAAAAACAATCTGGTTTCATATCATTTGAGACTTAAATGTGTGGATGGAATATGTCTTGTCCTGCTTCAGAGGACACAAGAGAAATTACTACCACATTTAAATCGGATATCCTGAGTCAGTCTAGAACTGAGATATACACCACAATCATGAAGAAGGGCCAGATACACCTTTATTCCAAAAGTAGGGAAAAAGGATATCATACATCCTAAATCCTTCCGACCAATCAGTCATACATCATTTGTATTAGGAACAATAGATGTTGATAACTACATCAGAATAGAAATCCTGGAGATGGTGCCACTCCACTACAGCCAGCATATGCACCGAGCAGGAAGATTTACAGAAACTGCTCTGGTACAGCTGACTGATGAAATTGAGGATGCACTGACAAGACATAGAAGAAACGTTTGACAATACGCCACATGAATCTGACAAAAGGGCACTCGGATATAGAGGAGTAGATAACATCACATCCAGATGAATGTGGTGCTATCTACGAGAACTGCAGAGACTCAGATAGGGCAGGACACATCTCCATCTGTACCACCAGAAGATGTCCACAAAGAGAAGTTATATCCCCACTAATGTGGAGCCTGAACTTCTATACCTACAGATTGACAACCCAATCATATTTGCTAGAGGCAAGTTTGGAAATATCCTGTGATATAGTTCAAAGAGGACTAGAATACATCAAAAGATGGATGATGGATTTAGTATAAACCCCACCAAAAACAATACTAGTAGCCTTTTCAAGGAAAAGAAATATAAATCTTAAAACCGTCAAATTAGCCGGGATAGATATAGAATGAAAAAAAAAGTCAAATATCTAGGCTAACCCTGGACAACAAACTTTTTGTAAAACATATTCCTTGATTAGAAAGATCGCAGACAACAAACTATGATGTAGTAGGTGTGAGCAGAAATGTATCAGATAATGAAATCAAAAAGCAATATAGGAAGCTCGCAAAAGAATTTCATCCAGATAAGAATCCAGCTGCGGGTGATAAGTTCAAAGAAATTAGTTAGGCATACGAAATTCTCTCTGATCCTAAAAAAATATCTCAATACGACAGAGTTGGTATTAAAGGTATGCAAGAAAGTACTAGTGATGGATTCGGAGGTGATGACTTGTTTTCACACCTATTTGAGGGTGGTTTGTTCAGTGGCTTTGGAGGAGTTGGTGGTGGAGGAAGCTTACGAAGAAGGCAAAGAGGTAAGGATACCATGCATCCACTTAAAGTGACACCAGAAGACTTGTAAAATGGAAAAACTTTCAAGCTTTAACTTAGTAAAAATGTGATTTGTGCTACTTGTAATGGGAGAGGCAGCAGAAGTGGTAAAACTGAAAGATGCCAAAATTGTAATGGTTGTGGATTGAAGGTAACATATCAGCAGATAGCGCCTGGTATGTCCCAACAGACTCAATCTCGCTGTGCAGACTGTCAAGATGAGGGTGAAATTATTAGGGAAAAGGATAAATGCGCTACCTGCAAGGGCAAGAAAGTGTGCAATGAGACTAAAATTCTAGAAGTTCATATTGACAACGGTATGAAGCAAAATCAAAAAGTCTTGTTCAGGGGTGAAGGCGATCAACAACCTGACGTAAAGCCCGGAGACGTTGTGATTCTCCTGCAAAAAAGCCACACGAAAAATTCCAGCGTAACGGAGACGATCTACATGTCAAACATACTATCTCTCTAACAGAAGCCTTGTGTGGATTTTCGTTCATTATCCATCATTTGGATAGCAGATACATTCTTGTGAAACAATTCACTGGTGATGTTGTAAAGCCTGGTGATGTAAAATGTGTGATGAATAAGGGGATGGCCCATTTCAAATATTTTAATATTAAATTCCCTGAAAACCACTTTACTAGTGAATCTAATCTAAAAGCTCTAAAAACTTTATTACCACCTAGACCTGCGTTTACGATGCCCAAGGGAGAACATGTGGAACAGGAGGATTTACACGATTTTGACCCAGCAGAAAAAGGCTCACATTCATCCCGAGTCGAGGCCTATGTCAGTGACGATGAAGACCATATGCAGCCATGTATTCAATGTGCACATCAATAGGATAATTTCATTTTTAGTTTATTATTGCGAATCTGTATGTTGTGCTGCGCTTCTTTCTGAATAAGGATATTGTAACATGAAATTTACCCTTGTAGAAAAATGAGTTTTGATTCAGTAACAAATATTTCTTACTTAATTTAAATTGTGGCAACTTCGGATTGCAGTATAGGAGATGATGCTAATAATACCATTGTTTAATTTTTATTATACTATGCCCTTTATTTATTGCATTGTACACTTCTGTTAACTCATATTTCTGCATACAATCTTAATAATATATATCAGACTGAAGTAGTAAATAAGGCCACAAAAACTAATGAAATACAGAAACATTGCATATAGAAGATGGGGATATAAAACCCGAACACACTGCGATGGATGTATACAACAATAAAGAGACCAATCATCACTTATTTATTGGAGTAACAGAACTAGTTTAGCTACCACGAGAGCTAATATCTAGCCTGTGTTTGTATCACCAGTGCAATGAGAACCTGGATCTAAGATACGAAATGAGAAAGAAGTACAGTTTTGTGAAAAACTTCAAAACCACAAAGCTGAGCCAAGAATCCATCGTCCTTGCAACCGAAATACATTCCATAGAAGGCATTGGAATAGGAGTGTATGGGCACTCTTGAAAGTTTGAGTATATACCCAAATACCTTACAGGCGAAAGTTAACATCGAGAGAAACGATCGTCTTGTCCGATGACCAAGCAGCCATCAAAGCGCTGTGTTCTTACGTAATCAGCTGCAACATAACATATGTCATTTGAGTGTTTTTTCTCTATTCTACCATATTAGGTAATGACTTTGTCAAAATTAATTATATTTAATTTGTAGGTATTATGTTCTCAAATGCTTTTGAATCTGTACCAACTGCACTGGCGTATTTGGTACCATTCGATTATGTTCATATGATCACCTCTGGTGTTTTCATAAGACTGAGGTAAGAAATTTATATATTTTGTTTTTGTTTTGTAATTGCCATTTAAAACAAATAATTTAACTTAAAGTAAAAATCAAAAATATTTTTCCAAGTCTTACAATTGTCTTCCCTTGCAAGTGGCAAGCGATTTCGGTTTCTGTTTCTTACAAGTAATTATCATGATACTGGAAATATTATCTTTGAGTTGATTTACACCAAAGGCTAAAATACGACGACCACTCACTTCTTTTTAAATTATTATTGTCGCCTTTTTTTAATAGAGAGATATTGCAAATTTCTATAACGTCATCCACTAATAGGGACAACGTAATTAGAGGTAAATAAAATCCATGCTAAAATAAGACTTATTGCAAACATGAAGTTTTGACATTATAGTCCTTGTCCTAACACATATTTCTAACCTCATTTTAAAAATTTCAAACTACAGTTCTTTTTTTGTTGTCTATAATAGTACATAATATGGAAGAGGCATTAGAATTACCATTTTAGAAAGTTTGGATAACGATGATATTAAATGTGATATATTAAAAACTTCGAACTAATACGAATGTCGGCGCGCGCACCCGAAAGTTATAAAATCGCCACTATCCGCGCCCTTAAACATCCAAAATTAAAGACAGGCGCAATCTTTAAACTCAGTTCTAGAACGTAAACGATTTGCGCATTCTCAGGTGTCAAAATAAGAGCGGTGCTAATAGTAACTGACCTATAGTGAACTTGCAATATCTCTCTATTAAATAGTATTAGAACCTTTACATTTTAAGAGCTCTATTTATTTTCAGTACACTTCCAAAACTATTGTCTTGGGTAAAATACTTATCCTGGTTGATGTATTCAACGGAAGCATTGAATATTTTACAATGGAACGGTGTTACAAATATCAGTAAGTTTTGATTTATATTGTTAAATAAAAAATTTTTGCTTTACATATAATGTATCTATATTTTTCTACAATTTCTATAATTTTCAACGAAGTTATGATTAAATAATATTTTATTAAATTTAGTTAAAAAAATGATCTCTTAGCTGCAGTTTCAGAAATTGGTATATTTAACATATTTTTTGTACTCTAAGGTTTTAATATTAGTAATTCAAATAATAGTTCATTTAAACTTGTTTAAACTTACAATCGCAATAAACAATTTTTCGGTCTGTTTAAGTTAAGTTAAGAGATGCACGATGGCGCTTTTATGTGCTTATAGGCGCAGTCGTGTACCAAACGGCCTTATCTATATGACCAAAATTGCAAACAAGAATTTTCAAGCCACGAAACTTACAGAAAGAAGCTTAAATGGCTATTATATCGTAAATTTATTTTTAAATGTTTTTGCAAAGAACATATACGAGAGTGGATCAAAAAGTACCCGTGTTAGAAAGGAAGAGGCCAGTTTTTCAAAAAATTTATTTCTATTTTTCAACGTAATCTCCTTCTATACACTTTTCCCAACGTTTCTGCCATTTATTTAACCCCTCCAAAAAATATAATTTCTCGAACTCCGCAAAATACGCTTCAGTCTCGACGATAACCTCCTCGATAGAGCTGAATTTTTGTTTTACCGAGCCACGTTTTCATGTTGGGGAACAGAAAAAAGTCGCATGGAGCCAAGTCGGGAGAGTACGGTGGGTGCGGCAGCAATTCGTACTGCAGTTCTTGCAATTTGACCGCGAAAATTCTCGATGAATGTGCTGGTGCGTTATCGTGGTGAAACAGGACTTTTTTCTTCGCCAAATGAGGCCGTGTATCCTTCAATTTTGCATCGAATCGGTCCAATAATTCACTATAGTACTGTACTGTACTGTGATCATACTTCCTTTCTGCAAAAAGTCGATGAGGATTATTTCCTTGGAATCCCAAAAAATGGTGCCCATGTTCTTTCCGGCGCGGCCGATGGGGCCGTCTTTGCTTTCTTCGGAGCAGATTCATCACGAAAAATCCATTGCTTCGACTGTCGTTTGGTCTCTGGCGTATAATAATGTATCCAGGTTTCATTAACGGTGACGACTCGACGCAAAAACTCCTGCGAATTTCGATTAAAGTGCTCCAAACGCTGCTTCGACATTGAAAGCCGTATCCGTTTGTTGTCCACCGTAAGCAATCGCGGCACCCATCGGGCCGATACCTTTCTCATGTTTAACTTATCATGCAAAATATTAATTGCCATTCCGTAAGATACGCGTACGGCCTCTGCTACTTCTCGCACTTACGTTCGGCGATCTGTGACAACCATGTCTTGGACTTTTTTAACGATTTCCTCGGTAACAATGTCTGCCGGGCGACCTGGTCGCTTCTCATCAAAAACAGATGTACGACCATGTTTAAATTCGTTGAACCAATATCTTACGGTTGTCATAGATGGTGAAGGGCCCCCACAGACAGCATCCAACTTTGCTTTTATTTCATTGCATGTTTTTCCATCCAAAAATAAAAAGCGAATTACAGATCGATATTGTTCTTTTTCCATTTTATCGATTAATGCGAAACACGTATGGTACAAGTGGCTGCCAAATAAAAACCAACCTATGAATCAGTTTGAAATTTAGTATGGTATCGTGTGGCAGATGACGGTACACGACAGTAATGTCAACTTCCCTCAGCAACGCCACCTGCCTTCAAACACGCGTACTTATTGATCCACCCTCGTATTTAGATGGTATTTATTAAAATAAAACGAGTATAAAAGAGTTCATTATGGTGTCTCAGAAAACACATTTATTTTATTGTCTCTAATGATATTTAACTTAATTTTTCAGCGTGTGAAAATCAACCGCAGGGAGTACCCTGTATAAGAAATGGAACGGAGATCTTGGAAAGGTACAGCTTCTCGGAAAACAATCTACCAACTGATATTTTTGGAATGATAATTTTACTCTTCGGTTTTTATATTTTAGGATATTTCTTTCTTTGGAGAAAAGTTAGGCATTATTAAAAAATATAAGAAATAATTATTTTGTTTTATTGTTCTCCTAATCAAATTTTTGTTTCAAGTACTGATACATCTACTTGAATTAGCTACTATTGCCAAAAGAATAAAGGCAGTGTTCAATTTTTATTGTTATAAATTGGCAGTTCGTATTTCTTGGTTCGGAGATTTTTGTATATCCCCTATTATTCTGTAAGTATTTTTAAGAGTATTTTGTATTATTACATAAAATAGGAAATGTTTAAATAAATAAAAGTTTGTGGATGAAAATTAAATAACCTTATATTCAAAATATTATGTGCTCAATACACATGATGTTTTAAAAATGGAAAAGTATGTGGATAGAAAACCAAAAAGTTGCTCGAATCGAAATGACGTTTTAGGTTAATGCATGGTAGGATTCTAGGAAATATTTTATAAGCTACATAATCTGTAAGATATAGTAATGTAATTTTTTTTATACATTTTAGCTTACAGATCTTATAGATTGTCTTAGAATCGACCCTTTAATTGTGGATCTTTAAAAAATTACAACTTTTCTTACACTTTCATTTTGCTAGGACCGTTCATTTCTAAGCAATTTCCTTTATTATAAGAAATGAATTTTCGATAATTTAGGCATAATTTTCAAATAATCTAAAGTCCATAAGAATAAAAGTTATTAAAGACCGTTGTTTCTTTTTTAACAATCTAATTTTCATGTAAATATATCTCTATCAGAACAAATTTTTGGTTGTCTGGTTTCATGTTTTTCAATTTTCAAGATACCCTGTATATCGAGCTGTATATTGAGTACAAGTTTTAAAAACTTGTTTAGAGCATAAATATAATGTTGCCATGTCCGATGGGTGGCGATCACGTGTTTCAGTAGAGAACATACGTGAAAATTAAAGTGACATTCACAGTTAGGAGTTGGGAGGCATAGTTAGTTAGACTGTGCCCAGACAACACACCAAATCCCAGAGATATCCACAGAATATCTTTTGTGGATATCCAATATATCCACATGATATCCGAAATATCCAGTGGATCTAATATGGATATCCAAATGTCCGTCTATATCCCAGGATATAGAAGATATTCTATGGATATTCAGCAAAATATTTTATGGGTATCTTTAGTAGAGGTTCATAAGTAACCAATGATTATTGAATAACGTCGAAAGAAAATAGCAGAGATAGAAAATATTTTCAACACTCTGCCTTTGATTTTGTCCACTAAGGAGAAAGTTATCCTTATTAAGACTCTTCAGCAATAAATAGAAATTCTTGACTCCAGTCTCTAATGGAGTCTGATTGAAATACCAATTTCGATCGAACTCAATTACGGCGGGTTGAGCATGAGTAGATATTCAACGAGCGAAAGTGGTATCGCTATCTATACTTAGTAAGCAAAATCAAAGGTTGCTGTAGTACGTAGTTCAGAGACTAGGTGGCGTAAAAGCCAGGCGGGCTATTCTTAAAAAAGGAAATAATTCTAGTCCTAATAAGGACAAAACCGGTCCAAGAATGACTTTCTTCTTAGTGGGCAAAATCAAAAATTATATCTAGTGGATATCCAACATGGTTTGCGTTCGCGCCTAGACTTTGATATATTTAGTGGATCTCCATGGGATATTGAATACACCTTAAAAAAATTAATTTTAAATATCTGAACGGTGCTATTAGCCACAATGGCGTAATTTTTTAATAATTTGCTATATAATTACTATTATTTATGGACATTTGCATGTCTATAAATTACATCTCATTGATATAAAATAGATATCCACCATGGCGATTGGACATTCAGTGGATATTGGGATGTCCAGTAGATATCCAAAGGATTTGGTGTGCTGTCTGGGTGATCGTATTATAGCACCAATGAACCAGAGGGCTACGCTAGAACTCCACCTGAGTGAAATGAATACATTTGGAATGCCAGGATAAAGCCATGGACATTCAATTTAATAGACTGCCAAAAATACAACATATTTCGATCCTGGACTGATCGCCTTACAAAATACTTGTATAAAAAGTGTCTATTTGAGAGTAGGCCGATCAAATAAATCACAATATTGGAAGAAATGCCCAGGTTAATACAGTCTCGTGAATCTTATAACGAATCTTTCACTACTACTGATAATATCACAAACAAAAGCAATGAAATTCTGAAATACATACCTGTTGATCAATTTGAGCTATCAATTCTGAACTCCATCGGAATCTCCAAGTACTGGAATCTCCAAGATTTGAAATAGTTTTGCTAAAATCCATTTCCAAGACATTATTTGTCAAATTATCTCATAGCCATTTGTTGTTGATGTTTTATCTATAATCATATTAATAAAGAATACCAACAGTTATAAACTAAATATAGTTAGATAATTTTATACTTAAATTATTTTCACCTACGCCAATGGCAATCCAATTGGTACACTTAGTCCTTATACGCAAAGATACATATCTTTTAAAAAATATTTGAAATCTTAATCTTTTTAGATGTGTCTAAGAGAATTTTTAAAATCATTTTTCTCCATAACTACTTTTTGTGACATTGGTCTTTTTACCTCTTATATTATAATCATTATTTTAAATATTTAATTAAATTACTCATGGTATTATTGCCAGAAAATACCCACGGTTGCTAAGGACGCAGTGACATCAAGGATATGAAAAGTGAGTTGACAGAAAATATTTTACTTGGTGTCGTACATTAGTTTTTTTAAAAATCTAATATTTTATTGGTATTTAGTGGTGTTTAAATTTTTATTTTTGAACTTTGTTCTGGTGTTAGAGTTTTTATAATATCGGTAGTTTGATTTTTTGAAAGACAAGCTACAAAATATCAAGGAAAAATCATTTATTGATTTCCATAAAATTTCAAATTAATTACTTTTTATTTGAATTATAAAGAGAAATAATATTGTATAAATGGTTTATTTTAAACATTTTGGATTAGGGTACAGCCTTTAAGCTGAATTCGGATCACACTTTGTTTATATCCAGAAATATTTTGAAATTTTGGCAAGCCTCCAGCTAGCCGTAGTGTTGCTGTTGCCTGCCAAAAGTGTCAAACAATTTTTAATTTTTACAGACAAAAATGGTAAGAAGTAATAAAGGGACTCAGCTTAAACTGAAAATAAAGCCTTATGGTAAAATTTTCGAATATTATTCTGAAAATATAATTCAGTATAATTAAATTAATAGCAGTTTTTTCCATCCTACATTTAAAAGCAGTCTAGATGGTTTCTTATAAGCAGTAAACACAACAAAAAGCAAGAAAAGTCAAAGGGCTTTACTAAAAGAACCTACATTATTGAAAAAAGGGTTTTCTACAGGAAGTTTTTAGTAAAAAGTAGTAACAAATAATTTTATAGAAGAAAACAAGGACCCATTGGACTTCAGAAGGAACATACAATGTATATTTATATCAGAAATAAAAGATATAATAATTAATTTCTGAAATACATACCTGTTGGTCAATTTGAGTTATCAATTCCGAACTCCATCGGAATCTCCAAGTACTGGAATCTCCAAGACTTGAAATAGTTTTGCGAAAATCCATTTGCAAGACATTATTTGTCAAATTACCTTATAGCCAAATGTTGTTGATGTTTTACCTATAATTATAATAATCATATTAATAAAGAATACCTACAGTTATAAACTAAATACAGTTAAATAATTTTTCACCTTTTTTTCTCTCAATTTTATACATAAATTATTTTTACCTAGGTACGCTAGTGGCAATCCAATTAGTATACTTAGTCCTTATATGCAAAATAAGTAATCATGCATAGATACATATATTTTAAAAAATATATAAAATCCTAATCTTTTTAGATGTATGTGTCTAAAAGAATTTTTAAAATTATTTTTCTCATAAACTACCTTTTGTGACATTTATCTTTTTACCCCTCATATAGTAATCATTATTTTAAATTTTTAATTAAATTATCCATGGTATTATTGCCAAAAAATACCTACTCTGCTTTTTTGCTATTTTTGTTTACGCCTACCGGTACCTTAGCCACAGCCAAAACAATTTTTTGTCAATCACAGGGTCACAGTTTATTGCTAAAGAATCAGTTAGCTCACTCGGACCAGTTGAATGTTCCAAAATAACATCCACTCCAGGGATACAAATTCAGGATGCGCAGAAGACTGCTGTTTGAATATAGGCGGTTGTCATGTATTGTATTGGTTATGATTTTATTATGTATGCGCCAGGGATACAAGTCTAAGTTGCGCAGTGTATAAACTGGAACATTGAGATCAAAAGTGCCGACGCAGACGCAGAGTGACCGAAATGATTCTTTAGCTATAAACTGTGACAGGGTGTTGTTTTGCAATTTTCAAAGGCATCAATTAAATTACTCCAAAAGTGCAAAACATCAAATATTTGTATGTTAGATAGATAATAAGGTAATATAGTGCACATTCCTTTTCTATTTATATTTAAATATACAAGCTAGGTGTATATCCAAAGCTAAATCACTTCATTACCGGTAGGTATACTGCACCGAAAATTGTGCTGTATTTTTTCAGTGATTTCAACTTCCTAGATAGATAGGTAGGCTATTTAATTTTATAAATAAGTACCTATGTAAACCTATTTCTAAACGTATTTGAATTTAAGCAACGAATATTTAATTATTTCATCATAATCATTGAGTTTCCTTCCCTTGCATTTCGGTTTATATTTAAGAACCTCGGTTGCTTAGCCACATTGATTTTTATATCGATTACCTGTCATTTCCGCCATTTAGTGAAAAATCTCGATTATTGTTACTACTTTGTGCATTATGTGCGGTTTTTGTAAAATATGCATATAATTAGTGAAAAACTTTCAAAATTTACATACATAGGCACTCAAATATGTTTCTATCAAGAAATGTGAACGTTTAAAGTAGGTAAGTTGTATTTATTTTCATAGTGCTTAAGGTAGTATAGGTATCGATTCAAATTACCTAACGCCTTCCAACCTTATTTTTGAAATACCTAGGTATTTGTTAACTAATTTTATGG